ACTAGGTGTATGCCAAGGCAAATAGAAATCAAATTTAATAGACTAAGAGCTGGTCTACTTTTGAACAGTCACTTTTATTCTCATAATTTCCTGTCGGTAATAGATCCCAAATATCAATGTGGTGAAAACTTCCAAACCACTGAACACTTTTTAATCAAGTGTCCACTGCTACTTAATGAACGTGAAGTTCTTCTTGCAGGACTATCAGACTTGAACTGTTTACGTGATTTTGAACTATACTCAATTCAAAGGAAAACATATTTTCTATTAAATGGAGATGAAAATTTGGACATTGAAACAAATGAAAAACTGATTGAAATCACTGCTCACTATACATTTCAAGCTGTACAAAGTCTGGGACAGGGTAATTTTTAACATTTGATCTGAAATAGAGTAAAGCAGATGAAATGTGAAATAGAATAAAACAGATGAAATGTGAAATAGAGTAAAACAAATGAAATGTGAAATAGAGTGAAACAAATGAAATGTGAAATAGAGTAAAACAAATGAAATGTGAAATAGAGTGAAACAAATGAAATGTGAAATAGAGTGAAACAAATGAAATGTGAAATAGAGTGAAACAGACCAAATGTGAAATAGAGTAAAACAGATCAAATGTGAAATAGAGTAAAACAGAGAGAAATAACAAGTTATATCATTAAAAGATGAAAAGATTTGTTCACAATTACAAAATGTTGTAAAAAAATAGATATAACTATTCAACCCTTAGAGTGAAATGGTGGTAATTTTTGTTCATTTTAAGATTAAAGTGATTGTTGATGTGTGTTTTGTGTTTAGCATGATGTGCCGTGTGATGGAGAGATCTAATATATAGAGGTTATCTACTGGGAGGGATTGAATATGAATTTATTTGAGGGACAATAAAATATTTCTCAAGGGTTAGTGTGATGAAGAGATCTAATATATGTTGTTATATGTTAGTAATTAATTAATTACCCGAACAGCTGTAAGTTAAAAATAAATCTGAATGTTATAAGTTCAACTTAGATAACAACAATATAATTGATTTGACTATTGTTTGTTTAGTTTGTTTGTTTAGATTAATACTGTTCACTTATAAATTCTAATATTCTATTTTTACTTCTGACTTTCAGGTAGACAGTAAATCTTATGAATGAATTTAAATGGACATTTTCAAAAAAGGATTTGTTATAGTAGATTTCAAACAAGACTTTTTGTGAATCTATTGATAAAACTCAGGGGTGAAATATATAATTATACTTTACATGAATATAACAATATTTTTATTGTTAAAAATGGGGATGTTAATCTATCATCGTAAGTGCAGGTATTTGAAATTTGATTATGAATTAAACGACAACTGCAAAATGTTATTTAGAGGACTTATTTCAAAACACATCTGGTATCATAAATACAATGTGTTTGATATGTAACAGACCAATAGTATTAAATTATATTAGAAGTCAAACTATATGTAATCAATTCAAATTGCTGTTAGGAATTTGCCCAAAAAAACATAACATAGAAAATAAAAACAGATTTTGTAGGAATCATCTGTATTAAGTTCCTTTATAACTCAGTGAATCTAATATCTAATATCTGAAAGATGTATATAGCATTGGACTATAGCAACTCTGATAATAATTCTGCTAATTAAATTAGGATGCAGGAATGACCCAGCTGGTGGCTTATTTAACTTATTGCATTTATACCACAGTTCCTGTATTGATAGATTCCAATAGATTTTTATATGCAACTTCAAAGGGATAATCTTGGTTTACACCTTTTTAGGTATTTACTGATTAGTATCATTTTTTTTACAAAAACTCAAACAGTATTTGATTCAGTAAAACTATAAAAAACAGCAATATATATTATACCCTAGATTAGAATTCATACAATAGTGAAATAAGATGAAAATAACATTACATTCACTTTCAATAAGAATCAAGTCAAAAAGTGCATAGGCTTGTGTTCATTAAAGGCCACACTTTTGAATGATTAAACTATATTTTGCAAACTCTGCATGGGTCCTTTAAAATGTTCAATTTAGTTGCCATATTGAAACTATTGATAATCAAAATTGAATGTATTCTGGAGACGTATACTTGAAGCTGGGATTCAGTTTTCTCAAAATAACAATGAGAAATATGTGAGAGAAGTGGGAAATATGTGAGGAGAGGGAGATAAATATGTGGGAAGGAAATTTTGGAGTGTTTTTGAAATAAATAAATATAAACATACAACATAGTGACAAGAATATGGTAAGGATAAGGTGACAAAAATATGGTAAGGATAAGGTGACAAAAATATGGTAAGGATAAGGTGACAAGTATATGGTAATGAGAAAAGGTGACAAGAATATGGTAAGGATAAGATGTCAAGAATATGGTAAGGATAATGTGACAAAAATATGGTAAGGATAAGGTGACAAGAATATGGTAAGGATAAGGTGACACGAATATAGTAAGGATAAGGTGTCAAGAATATGGAAAGGATATGGTGACAAAAATATGATAAGGATAAGGTTACAAAAATATGGTAAGGATAAGGTGACAAAAATATGGTAAGGATAAGGTGACAAGAATATGGAAAGGATACAGTGACAAAAATATGGTAAGGATAAGGTGAGAAAAATATGGTAAGGACACGGTGACAAAAATATGGTAAGGATAAGGTGACACATATGTGAGAAGGATAAGGCGACAAATATGTTAGAAGGAGAGGGAGACAAATATGTGGGAAGGAAATGGTGACAAGAATGTTGAAAGGAAAGGGTGACGAGAATGTGGGAAGGGATATGTTGTAAGGATAGAGTTACTTCAAGCACTGATATAATGTCACACTGACCTGGAAGAATAATCAATATTATGATATAGTCAGACTTGTCAAATAGTTTCTGACATGTGTGGGATGAAATGATCAGATGGGATTTCATCTTGAAGGATTATTATTAAATATATAAACAATTAGAGTTGGCGGATTAAAAGTAGAAATGACATGATATCATTTCAAAGAATCAAGAAGTTAAGAATGAGAAAATAAGATATGTATATTTTCAGGAAGGTCTAATTTGGAATAAGAGTGTAAGCTGAATGATTCATTTCACATGTGAAATAGAGTAAGCAAGTAAGCATGCAGTAATAGGAACTGGTTAATATAAGATAGCGGTACTCAAGTATTGTCATGTTACAGAGAATTTCTGAATGTCTGTGCAACATCAGAATGGATTGAACAAATGTTTCAAACATTTTTGGATTAACTATATGTAATGTACATGTAATAAGGATATCTAATCTCTACCTTATATTGACTGATATACTACATAACCCGAACCTACTTGAAAAGATGTTAAAATGACATTAAATACAACAAGACTTTATTAAATTGAAACCAAAGAAAAAGTGTACTGAACTACTAAATATCTGAAACCTGGCTGTGTCAAGGTATGAATGCAACATAGAAAACACATGTATGTATATGGTGCCACTTTCTAAATAAACAGCTTGGATTTGGATGAAATGAGGCCAACTACTATACAGATATTGAAATTATGGAATTTCCTTGGACCTTGGATATGTAGTGTTAATTACTGGATGCAGAATGTGTTTATTAAATCCCGTGTAGATGTAAATCAAGAAGAGTGAATTACTGAAAAATGAGATGTCTATAGAAGTTGGAAGGAGTGCTTACAGTGAACCTATTCAAATGTTGAAATCTGCAATGAAGCAGGACTTATCCAGTTTGCAAAGGAAGCATTTGATTAGGTCAAGGTCATTCATCGATCGACCTACTCAAGTGAAATTTGACTCTGAGAGTAATAGGAGAAGCAGCACTGCAGGTGTGTATCATTGTTATTCACTGGGGGTATTAAATATGGTTTTTATATACTAGAGAATAATAGGAAAAGCGGCATAGAAGGTGTGTATCATTGTTATTCACTGGGGGTATTAAATATGGTTTTTATATACTAGAGAATAATAGGAAAAGCGGCATAGAAGGTGTGTATCATTGTTATTTACAGGGGAGATTGAGACATGGTTTTTGTATAGAGAATGATAGAAAAAGCGGCATAGCAGGTGTGTATCATTGTTATTTACCGGGGAGATTGTGGTTTTTATATACTAGTGAATAATAGGAAAAGTGACATAGCAGGCGTATATCATTGTTATTTACTAGGAAGATTGAATATGGTTTCTATACAGAGAATAATAGGAAAAGCGCCAATGCAGTTGTAGACCTCTCCACCTCATACAGTTGTATCATATTTTCTTTGGGATAATCATAATATTCTAAACCTCATAATGAGGATAACCTTTTTGTATGTAAGTCATTTCATAAAGTCCAAACAATATTTGCAAAAAGTATGTTAAGGAGGTCTCATTGGTTTTCTATCACCAAACACGCCAAATGTAATGTAAGCAGGAAGTTATCATAACCATTTGAAATATTACCAATCATTTTTCTTCATTAAGTTGACATTTGGTATATGATGTAGGATAAAACTTGTAATACTGTAGTATAATTAGCTACTCCAATATTTGTCTACCCACCCCCTTCTCTTTGGGGTCCTTTATCTATCCTCCTCCCTTCCTCCCCCATACTATAATCCTCCCCCATCCCCCTCTCTCCCCATCTATTCCATCTCAATAATGACTGACTAACATTCTTCTACTTTGTGCCAAATACCCAAGTGTTTTCTCAAACTGGGGATGGTTCACTGTGGGTATTTATATTTATAAGAGTTTATAGGATGTTCTGTTCATATGTTTTGAATGGTTTATAAATATAGACATATAGCTAATGCATGTTGTGAGTTGCCAAGGTTACAATGATGTCATTGTAATTGTAACATTGTCAATTATTTTTCTAGTGTCATTTGTCAATTTGAAGAAAATGGCCTTCACCATGAAAAGCCCTTTGTTTTAGTTCAAAATCGATCTACTATTCAATATCTTGTCTTGAATTTGTATTCAGCCATTGTCTCTGTTTAAAAATCCTGATTTTTACATTTTCAGGTACAGTTCCGCAAGAGCTACAAGAAGAGGCAAATAATAGTGAAGTTGCTAGGGGGTCTCCAACGTTTCAAAATCGCAGCAAGGTAAGTTTCCATGAATATTATTCATTAATCATTCTCTCACATTTCAGTCTTATGTCAAGTTATTTTCCATTGAAGTACTACTGAAGTATGAAATTACAAAAATAGCTGTAAATTATCTTAACCAATTTGATTACAATGGGAATCATCAGTTTATTCATGAAAAAAGAATTTTGGTTCTTTTTTATTTTAAGATTGGCAGATCTTGACTTATAATGGTCAGAATTTTGCACCTATTTGAGGAAAAAATCCTTATGGAGACCACTACCATGTGTATAACTCTGCAACTAGAATTCAAATAAAAAGCAAGAAAGATGACCCCTTATAAGACACATTATTGTGGTAGTAGAAGAAGGCAATTTTATGTTTATATTGTTCATCATAAATTAATAGCTCATTATCATTTTATTGATATCATTCCTTTAAAATATGTCAGCAGGTGTAACTTTTACCCTCAAGGTCAAACCTCATTTAAAGGCAAATTTTTCTCAAAAACAGGTGAATTTGGAATTTACCTTACAGCAAATAATCTCCTTGAAATGTTTCTATATTCCATTCTTTTCAATTTTTATTTGCTTTTTCTCTCCCTGTTCTCCTTTCTTCAAGTGAGGAATGATGGTCAGATGGTTGCCATGAGGGAGTAGGGTTTTCTGTGCGAAGTTATTGCCTATGTTGGTTGTTTTACTGTTTTACTGTTTTTGTAGTTCAAGAGTAACCATGAAATTGTGTAAATTGTTTTCTAAAAACACAACACATTATGACATTTGGGTCAATGTGTATTCACACATATCTGCTCCCTTGTCACGATCGATGGGCAGTTAAACTTCTGCCTGATTTTGACCAATCACAGACAAGTGTTTTGTAGTTTATTTTGAGAAAGGGATCCGGGACATTAATTCAAACATCTATATCATTTTGACATAGTTTATCTTTGTACTATTTATATCATTTAATTAATCCCTTTTGCCAGGAATTATAAGTTTCTCTTGAAAGCCTAAAAGCCAAAGTAATACATATTATCCTGAAAGTGTTTCATCCATTTTAAAATGTGGAACAGGATCCTGTAGGTTCCTGATTTAGTGTCGCCATACAGAGTAAAAAGATGCACAAAGAATAGGCCACTTTGGGGTTTTACTTTCATTTTTGTGATTGAATAGAAAGTTTTCAGAAGCAGCGCAATCCATACATTTGTCTTCTGTGGGAGACCATGCTATATTTCATAAAAACACTGAAAAACTCCACAAATTATATTTCAACTCATATATTTCATTATTCCAAAGAAAAGAACTACATTATTTTTATCACACCATTGGTGGGATATAGTCGTCGTACTGGTCGTGATCGTGGTCGTGATCGTGATCGTGGTCGATCGTGATCGTGGTCGTGATCGTGATCGTCCCGCTTTTTGTCATCGCCGTTTAAGGAAAACTGCTCATCAAAATTCCTCCAAATTCGCAGAGATGATAGAGCATATGAAGTACTAGAGCTGATTAACTTTTGGGCGGCCATCTTGTTTTCTGGTGGCCATTTTGAAGGTTTTTCGAAAAATCTTGTCATCGCCATTTCAGGAAAACCGCTCATCGAATTTCCTTCAAATTTACACAAATGATAGAGGATATCAAGTACTAGAGCTGATTAACTTTTGGGCGGCCATCTTGTTTTCTGGTGGCCATTTTGAAGGTTTTTCGAAAAATCTTGTCATCGCCATTTCAGGAAAACCGCTCATCGGATTTCCTTCAAATTTACACAAATGATAGAGGATATCAAGTACTAGAGCTGATTAGCTTTTGGGTGGCCATCTTGTTTTCTTGTTCTTCAAATTTGTAAACATAATAGGAGAACAGTTTTCCTGGTTCATAGTGTCTGCCTATTTGATGGTGTGATCTCGTTCACGTCCTGTGCCTTGTTAGAGTTCATGGTACATTTATTTCCCTGACCTTGAAATGATCATTACCTTGTGATATTGTCTTTAATTGGATGGATGATGGCTCTACAGGGTGTCGAATAAGTGCTGGCCAAAAGACTCAGAGCTAATTTCATGTCTAAAGAGCTAAAGCATGTATAATAGAACATCTTTGGCACCTCTTTAAAGTGTTCTACTCAGTAGGCGTTTCCCTTAACATTAAGTCATTTGGTTGTGGGACTCCACAAAGTGTTTCACCTGTGAGGTGTTCCACTTTACAGCTTTTACTCTACTTAACATGGCTTATAACCCTGTTTATTTTTTCCTGAAGCCACTCAGTAAAATTACGATCTCTCTGCACCCTGATGTCCAATCAAGATCATTCAAGTATCTTTGTGTTCCTGACATTCCTGTTTGGGCATCCGGGAATGACAACGTCTGCCAGGTTTTCTCTGGGTTTGTATTGCCTCTGATGATGATGATGATTGGGACTTTCTGACTTAAATCAAGCCCTTATCTAAATGGATTTGTGTCTGGGAACAGTTTTATAGATAGTTCTTATAAGCAATTCTGAAAGAATATCACACCTTTTTGTTTTCCCGATTTCAGTCATAAATTACTTTAATATGGCGTACAAACTTTGGGTAGACGTTGTCAGATGCCCAAACATGTCAGCAACACATACAAGATACTTGAATGATGTTAAATGGACATCATGGTGCAAATGAATCGTAATTTTACTGAGTGGCTTCATGAAAAAATAAACAGTGTTATAGGCCACCTAATATTTGGCAATTCATTTTCCATTATTAAAATTTGACCTATACATTTGAAACCATTGTGATGCACCCTGTCTCCATTTCATAGCACTATTTCTTTCTAATTTCTGCAGTCATTCACTAAGTATATGAATATATATATATATAAAGGATAGGGAGGTACTGGCCTACATTCATTATTCTGTCCAATATTCACTAAGTACAGGGTGGTCAAAAAAATGGAAACCCTGCATTTTCCTAATATCTTTGTCATTTTAAGGATTTACACCCTGATATTTCACATATTTGTACATCATTCAATTTCTTACCCCCCTACCAAATTTCATGACCATCAGACTGATAGTCACAATTTTACAGCACTTTGAATAACATGCTTCAAGTTTGGCCATCATCGCGCTGTAGGCAAACCTGCACAGTTATCAATGGGCCGAATGCATTCCTCAGCAGGTATGGCCTGAATGATACAGATGATCTCCCTTTTGAGGTTTGTGATTATCCTGAGGTCATTCTCATACACTTTTTCCTTGCCATATCCCTACAGGTAGGGACATTTTGGACGATGAGTGCAGGTGGACCGACAGCGCAATACTGGCCACTAGGTCATGTTCTGTAAAGTGCTGTAACATTGTGACTATCAATTTGATGGTCATGAAATAAAGTAGGCTTGTAGAAAATTGAATGATGTACAAATGTGCAAAATATCAGGGAGTTATTTCTTAAAATGACAAATATATGAGGAAAATGGTGTAAGGGTTTCCATTTTTTTGACCACCCTGTATATGAACATATATATAAAGGATATGGAGGTACTGGCCTACATTCATTATTCTGTCTAATATTCACTAAGTATATGAACATATATATAGAAAGAATAGGGAGGTACTGGCCTACATTCATTATTCTGTCCAATATTCACTAAGTTTATGAACATATATATAAAGGATAGGGAGGTACAGGCCTACATTCATTATTCTTTGCAATATTCACTAAGTATATGAACATATATATAAAGGATAGAGAAGCACTGGGCTACATTCATTATTCTTTCCAATATTCACTAAGTATATGAACATATATATAATGGATAGAGAAGCACTGGGCTACATTCATTATTCTTTCCAATATTCACTAAGTATATGAACATATACAGGGTGACCGGAAAAAAAGGAGACCATTGAAGTAATCAATTTCTCCTAAACTAGACAAGTGCCATCAATGAAATTTTGCATACACTGGAACAGTTATATGGAAATTTGTTACTGAAGGTTTCAATACAAGCATTCAACTGGTTCAGGAGCTATGATCATTTACATAACATGCTCCAAATAGGCACAATTGAGACCAACGCAGAGTTGGATTCATATGGCAAACTACCCTTACATGTTCTGCCCTCTATGGCACTATTATGGCATTACATATAGCAGTGATTGCCTTCTTTAGGTCAACAATAGTCTGAGGATTGTTTTGGTATAGATTGTCTTTCAAATATCCATACAAAAAGAAATCAGCAGGATTCAAGTCTAGGCTGTAATGGCAATGAAGGGTTATCTGACATGTGGTTCATCATCCTGTTGCCAAAGTGCTGATTTACCAAATCTTAAGAGTCACTTTAGGTATTGGGCATAGTGCCATGCTACTAAAACCACTATATGGCACAATTAAATCCCATATGAAAACCAAGGGCTGCCCAAAACCTCCTTAGGATGATACTGTAACTGAGTGGGACCACTGAGTCAGAAGCCATAGGTCAGATAAGCTTCGTCTCCATACACCTCAAATTTGAATCCACCTGATTTCTTTTTGTGGGGCAATTTGAAAGACAATGTGTACCAAAACAATCCTGAGACAATTGCTGACCTAAAGGTGGCAATAAATGCTAAATGTAATGCCATAACAAGGTCGGAATATGTAAGGGTATTTGCCAAATGTATCCAGCTCTGCGTTGGTCTCAATTGCGCCTATTTGGAGCATGTTATGTAAATGATCATAGCTCCTGAACCAGTTGACTGCTTGTATTGACACTTTCAGGAACAAATTTCCATAGAACTGTCCTGATGTATGCAAAATTTCATTGATGTCACTAGTCTATTTTAGGAGATATTGCCTATTTCAATGGTCTCCTTTTTTTCCGGTCACCCTGTATATAGAAAGAATAGGGAGGTACTGGCCTACATTCATTATTCTGTCCAATATTCACTAAGTTTATGAACATATATATAAAGGATAGGGAGGTACAGGCCTACATTCATTATTCTTTGCAATATTCACTAAGTTTATGAACATATATATAAAGGATAGGGAGGTACTGGCCTACATTCATTATTCTTTCCACTATTCACTAAGTATATGAACATATATATAAAGGATAGGGAGGTACTGGCCTACATTCATTATTCTTTCCACTATTCACTAAGTATATGAACATATATATAAAGGATAGAGAAGCACTGGGCTACATTCATTATTCTTTCCAATATTCACTAAGTATATGAACATATATATAGAAAGAATAGGGAGGTACTGGCCTACATTCATTATTCTGTCCAATATTCACTAAGTTTATGAACATATATATATAAAGGATAGGGAGGTACAGGCCTACATTCATTATTCTTTGCAATATTCACTAAGTTTATGAACATATATATAAAGGATAGGGAGGTACTGGCCTACATTCATTATTCTTTCCACTATTCACTAAGTATATGAACATATATATAAAGGATAGGGAGGTACTGGCCTACATTCATTATTCTTTCCACTATTCACTAAGTATATGAACATATATATAAAGGATAGGGAGGTACTGGCCTACATTCATTATTCTTTCCAATATTCACTAAGTATATGAACATATATATAAAGGATAGGGAGGTACTGGCCTACATTCATTATTCTTTCCACTATTCACTAAGTATATGAACATATATATAAAGGACAGGGAGGTACAGGCCTACATTCATTATTCTGTCCAATATCCTCTGAATGTTTCCTCATTGCCTCATTGCAGTTTGAATTTTTGGTTGATTATTACGCTGACCAGGTAAATATATGAGTGACAATTTTTCTGAAATCTTTACGCTAGAATGTGAGTTTCTTTATTCTAATACAAAAATGTCTAACAAAATTGTCTACTTTTATAGGTTCTTTTTAGCTCTCTAACCAGCTTTAGAAATAAATCTTAAAGATTTCTCATCGTTATATTCTTTATAAATTATATAGAAGTGACAGCTAATTGTGTTTGTAGAATTCTTGTGTAATTTTCCAGGAGTGTATATTTCTAATCTAGTGCTACACTTTCTGATGGCAGTGTTTACATTATAATATTAGAGGCTTATTTGATGCTTTTTAACATGACCTCCTCAATGTTTGCTTTTATACATGTAGATGTTTATTGTATCATTTTTTATTAAAATAACCTGGTAAAATATCTCCAAAAAACTCTCTAGTAGTCATTTTTTTGGTACACTTGGTATCAGGGGCTTCCCCTACATGGGGTTTGTATTCATGAGGTTTTTAGTGTTATTCATAGGGTTTTATATTCATGAGGTCACATTTTGGCAAATCAGCAATGAAACTTTCCTTTTTAAGGGAGAGAATTTTAATGATAAATATCCCAATTTTTTGATAGAATAGTGACATAGCCCCTTTATAATTTTTTATCATTATTTGTGTAGTTTAACTATCTAGTGTTACATTTACAGGATTGGCACAACATACCAATAGGGGTATCAACATATGATTTAGATGAAGTATAGAATATGACATCACATGGAATTAAGCTTAACTAAAGAAACAGTTTTAATAATCTTATATACCTCCAGAAAAACCTTCTAAATTTGAATCATGATGCAATATCAATTTCCTCATAAACTCAGAATTAGAATCTGCGAAATGAAATAACAAACGAAGTAATTTGCGAGGAATATACAAATAACTTTGAAGTCATTTGTTTTACATTTCTATATACAGAAACTTGAAAACTAGATTCTTGTTTTGGGAATAATAACTCTAAGGGCAATTAACCCTTTCACGACGATAGGCTCCATATGGAGCCCTATTATGTAATACCTTTCAGGACGATAGGCTCCTTTTGGCACCATTATTTTTATCTATATACATCAATGAAATGACAATATCTCCAGTTCTATTCAGTATTTTTACATCAAATTTTGACAAGTTGTTCTAATGTGATAATCCTTACTAAAAATTGTATTTCAGTGATAAAATTCAGGGTATAGGTCCCGGGGTGTAGGTATTTTGTAGTTTTCCCCTAAAAACTGCTCTTACTTATCCGTCACCAGGGCCAACATTTTCCTCTTATATTCACGTCGGGAAAGGGTTAATAACACGGTTTATTGATTGTTTTTATTGGCTTTATTATTACTTTAAAGCCTCACGAGTGGTATAAATACATTCTTCTTAAAGCCTCTTGGGTGAAATAATATGTAAGACTCCCAGGATCTATTTCTAATTAACTGAATTGAAACTGATAACTCGTGTGAAAAATATGGGAAATGTCTAAATGATAATCATCAGTAATTCAATTGGACTTGCATTATGCTGAAAATGATGTTTCTGTCATGGTTATTTCATGCCACTCCTTTCTAAAACTTGAGTGAAACATTTCATTTTTTGGTTTGCTATGGAATGACAGTGATGCCCTCATGGCTGTTAACTTTTTCTACTCTTTGGCCCTCTATTTTGCAATTTATATCAAGTCCCCTTTAGTGTTATATTCCTTGGAAACTGATGCCACATTACCAAATTGATAATTAGAAAGATAACTGGGAAATGAAAAAATCAAATGATGTGTATTATAAAAAGTGAAGTATTACATAATTGAAACAGAATTTATGATGGAATAAAGTTAACAGAAATGATATCCTAAAATTTCAAAGTTATCCACTTCACTGAAATGTCAGAGAAAATATGAGGAATAATTATGACTTGATGGAGACATCATATATGCATGCTTAAGTTGATACAAATCATGCAAATTTAACAGCAAAGTATCTTATAGTGTCGACTATTGAATATGATGTTAAAATATTTTAGACAAATCCATTTTCAGCCCCTACCCCTTAACAGAAATCTGGAATTAATAAAATTCATATTTCTATTTTTTAGTCTGAAACCAAGATCTTCAGCCCCCTATTAGAGAAAGCAGAACATGGATCTTCCAGTGCGTCAAGCGCCAATAAGGTCTCAAAAAGGGAGTCCCTCAAGGTATGTTGTTCTCTCCAAAAATGCATTAGTGCTTCTGTAATCTTATTGTGGCAATGTTGTGAAGAGATTCCCACAATGTTTATTGGGCTACCTTAGAACGTGTTTGTTTATTTTTTCATTTGATTGGCATAAGATTACGTAGGATAGATTAATAAGAGGGAGTCTCCAAATGTTGGTTTTGCTTTTTGATTTATAATTTGACTGGCTAATATTTTGTGGAAAGGCTGCCTGGAGAGGGCCAGTAAGGAATTAAAGAGGGAGCCCCTCACAGGATGTTGGGCTATCCCATGATTCAGAAGTCATTTTTTCATGTAATCTGATTGGTTAAAATATATCTGACATCACTTTACCAATCATCCTGGGGCTTTGTGTTTTTAGCATGTGATTCTTAAGAATTAATAAAACATAATAATAAAGTACATGCACTTGTTTAGATGTTTGATTTCATTTAATCCATTGTGTAACTGTTATATTGAATTTATTAAGGATTAATATAAGAGTGCAGAAATAATGCAACATGTCAAATGGTAGCCTTTCAGAAATGGCAATTCTAATGATCTACATGTATGAATTAAAGATTAAGGAAATTAAGTAAATTTAACTGAAATTCAATAATACAATGAAAAGGAATTGTATATACATATACATACAGTATGTTGTATAAAGGTCTTAAAACAGGGAAATTGCTCTCTGTATGGAATATATGTACAGTCACAAATTGTTTGAGAAATATCGTTGTATTAGATGTCTGGTAGAAAAACATATAGGCCTTATAGGTTGTACAAAAATGTGAGTAAAAGGTTTTGCATATTCAAGTTTAGTTAAGTTATTTTATTTTATAATTTGAGCAAAAACATGCAATATGACATTGAAAAGGAAATTACAAATAGATATGACATTTAGGAACAATAATTATTGAAAAAATGAACAAAAATGATTGTCTTCAGGCTCAAAAGCGGAACTACCGTAAAGAAAAAAAGAGAGCAACCAAAGAACTTTTGAGTACATTGAAGGACCCCTCCGTGATAGTCATGGCTGACTGGCTGAAAGTTCGTGGCTCTCTGAAAAGTTGGACCAAACTTTGGTGTGTCCTGAAGCCTGGGCTTGTGGTCCTATATAAAAGTCACAAAGCTAAGGTTAGTTTTTGTCTATGGGAAACACCCAATGCATGCCCCTCATTGTTTCACTAATTCTGCCCTTCATTGTTTCACTAATTCTGCCCTTCATTGTCTCACTAATTCTGTCCCTCATTGTTTCACTAATTCTGCCCCTCGTTGTCTCACTTATTCTGCCCCTCATTGTTTCACTAATTCTGCCCCTCATTGTTTCACTAATTCTGCCCCTCATCGTTTCACCAATTTTGCCCCTCATTGTTTCACTAATTCTGCCCCTCATCGTTTCTCTAATTCTGCCCCTCATTGTTTCACTAATTCTGCCCCTCATTGTTTCACTAATTCTGCCCCTAATTGTTTCACTAATTCTGCCCCTCATTGTTTCACCAATTCTGCCCCTCATTGTTTCACCAATTTTGCCCCTCATTGTTTCACTAATTCTGCCCCTCATCGTTTCTCTAATTCTGCCCCTCATTGTTTCACTAATTCTGCCCCTCATTGTTTCACTAATTCTCCCCCTCATTGTTTCACTAATTCTGCCCCTCATTGTTTCACCAATTTTGCCCCTCATCGTTTCACTAATTCTATCCCTCATTGTTTCTCTAATTCTGCCCCTCATTGTTTCACTAATTTTGCCCCTCATTGTTTCACTAATTCTGCCCCTCATTGTTTCACCAATTTTGCCCCTCATTGTTTCACTAATTCTGCCCCTCATTGTTTCACTAATTTTGCCCCTCATTGTTTCACTAATTCTATCCCTCATTGTTTCACTAATTCTGCCCCTCATCGTTTCTCTAATTCTGCCCCTCATCGTTTCACTAATTCTGCCCCTCATTGTTTCACCAATTCTGCCCCTCATTGTTTCACTAATTCTGCCCCTCATTGTTTCACCAATTTTGCCCCTCATTGTTTCACTAATTCTGCTCCTCATCGTTTCTCTGATTCTGCCCCTCATTGTTTCACTAATTCTGCCCCTCATCGTTTCACTAATTTTGCCCCTCATTGTTTCACTAATTCTCCCCCTCATTGTTTCTCTAATTCTGCCCCTCATCGTTTCACCAATTCTGCCCCTCATCGTTTCTCTAATTCTGCCCCTCATTGTCTCACTAATTCTGCCCCTCATTGTCTCACTAATTCTGCCCCTCATTGTTTCACTAATTCTGCCCCTCATTGTTTCACTAATTCTGCCCCTCATTGTTTCACTAATTCTGCCCCTCATTGTTTCACTAATTCTGCCCCTCATTGTTTCACTAATTCTGCCCCTCATTGTTTCACTAATTCTGCCCCTCATTGTTTCACTAATTCTGTCCTTCATTGTTTCACTAATTCTGCCCCTCATTGTTTCACTAATTCTGCCCTTAGAGACCTGTTTTAAATTACAAGATCGAATTTTAACTGCATTTGCTGCATTTAGTTAGAACTGCAGGATATGGCAAACATATGCAGGTCAATGCAGAATACTGGATGATATTTCAAGTGCTCTGTAGTATCTCTTGTGATGCGAATCTGTCTGCTTTTCTTATTCTTTTTTCCTCTTATTCAATTGTACAGTACATGAAGAAATCATTGTAGGTGTCCCTAAATGTAAATTCACAGTATCAATACGTGGTATATAATAGCACATATCTGGTATATGTATTTATGATATAAACATATGTAATCCCTCAATCTGTAAGGCTATAGAGAATATCACCCGAGTTAGGGGGAAGATCTTCCCATGATCTCAAAAATGAACTGGCGTATTAGGGTGTATTTGGATCATTGGAAAGGTTATTCAATCCCCAGTATTTTGAGTTTACTGATAACTATTTAAAGACCAACAATAAAAAAGTTAGTAAACATATTTATGTGTATCATTATGAAAACAATAGATCTCATTTATGCTTAGATTCGTATCATGCATTTAAAATTGAACACTGTTTTCAGAGTGGCCATTGGGTTGGAACCATCTTACTGAATACAACTGAGCTCATTGAGAGGCCTTCTAAGAAGGATGGCTTTTGTTTCAAACTGTTTCATCCCCTGGAACAGTCAATATGGGCCACAAGGGTAAGATGACAGTTGGATTGTTTTTTTGTACAATATTCAGTCATCATATTTTTTTATTTATTTTGTTATTTAGTTCTCACTAAGTGACACAATATCCATGAGAGCCCAGTTCAGCATATTACATTTAGATTTAATATTTAAAAAAAATTAAAATATAAAGTCAAATTACTTTCATATTAAAACAATACTTTAGCACAGTATCTAAAATGCTTTAGATTAAATATCTGCACATCATGTTGACGATATGTTAATGTTATATATACCCTATATATAGGGTCCCAAGGGTGAAAACATTGGTGCCATTACTCAGCCCCTTCCCTATTCATATCTTATATTTTATGTTGTAGGGTCCCAAGGGTGAAAACATTGGTGCCATTACTCAGCCCCTTCCCTATTCATATCTTATATTTTATGTTGTAGGGTCCCAAGGGTGAAAACATTGGTGCCATTACTCAGCCCCTTCCCTATTCATATCTTATATTTTATGTTGTAGGGTCCCAAGGGTGAAAACATTGGTGCCATTACTCAGCCCCTTCCCTATTCGTATCTTATATTTTATGTTATAGGGTCCCAAGGGTGAAAACATTGGTGCCATTACTCAGCCCCTTCCCTATTCATATCTTATATTTTATGTTGTAGGGTCCCAAGGGTGAAAACATTGGTGCCATTACTCAGCCCCTTCCCTATTAGTATCTTATATTTTATGTTGTAGGGTCCCAAGGGTGAAACATTGGTGCCATTACTCAGCCCCTTCCCTATTCGTATCTTATATTTTATTTTGTAGGGTCCCAAGGGTGAAACATTGGTGTCATTACTCAGCCCCTTCCCTATTAGTATCTTATATTTTATGTTGTAGGGTCCCAAGGGTGAAACATTGGTGCCATTACTCAGCCCCTTCCCTATTCGTATCTTATATTTTATGTTGTAGGGTCCCAAGAGTGAAAACATTGGTGCCATTACTCAGCCCCTTCCCTATTAGTATCTTATATTTTATGTTGTAGGGTCCCAAGGGTGAAAACATTGGTGCCATTACTCAGCCCCTTCCCTATTCATATCTTATATTTTATGTTGTAGGGTCCCAAGGGTGAAAATATTGGTGCCATTACTCAGCCCCTTCCCTATTCATATCTTATATTTTATGTTGTAGGGTCCCAAGGGTGAAAACATTGGTGCCATTACTCAGCCCCTTCCCTATTAGTATCTTATATTTTATGTTATAGGGTCCCAAGGGTGAAAACATTGGTGCCATTACTCAGCCCCTTCCCTATTCATATCTTATATTTTATGTTGTAGGGTCCCAAGGGTGAAAACATTGGTGCCATTACTCAGCCCCTTCCCTATTAGTATCTTATATTTTATGTTGTAGGGTCCCAAGGGTGAAACATTGGTGCCATTACTCAGCCCCTTCCCTATTCGTATCTTATATTTTATGTTGTAGGGTCCCAAGGGTGAAACATTGGTGCCATTACTCAGCCCCTTCCCTATTAGTATCTTATATTTTATGTTGTAGGGTCCCAAGGGTGAAACATTGGTGCCATTACTCAGCCCCTTCCCTATTCGTATCTTATATTTTATGTTGTAGGGTCCCAAGGGTGAAACATTGGTGCCATTACTCAGCCCCTTCCCTATTCGTATCTTATATTTTATGTTGTAGGGTCCCAAGGGTGAAACATTGGTGCCATTACTCAGCCCCTTCCCTATTCATATCTTATATTTTATGTTGTAGGGTCCCAAGGGTGAAAACATTGGTGCCATTACTCAGCCCCTTCCCTATTCATATCTTATATTTTATGTTGTAGGGTCCCAAGGGTGAAACATTGGTGCCATTACTCAGCCCCTTCCCTATTCATATCTTATATTTTATGTTGTAGGGTCCCAAGGGTGAAAACATTGGTGCCATTACTCAGCCCCTTCCCTATTAGTATCTTATATTTTATGTTATAGGGTCCCAAGGGTGAAAACATTGGTGCCATTACTCAGCCCCTTCCCTATTAGTATCTTATATTTTATGTTATAGGGTCCCAAGAGTGAAAACATTGGTGCCATTACTCAGCCCCTTCCCTATTAGTATCTTATATTTTATGTTGTAGGGTCCCAAGGGTGAAAACATTGGTGCCATTACTCAGCCCCTTCCCTATTCATATCTTATATTTTATGTTGTAGGGTCCCAAGGGTGAAAACATTGGTGCCATTACTCAGCCCCTTCCCTATTAGTATCTTATATTTTATGTTATAGGGTCCCAAGAGTGAAAACATTGGTGCCATTACTCAGCCCCTTCCCTATTAGTATCTTATATTTTATGTTGTAGGGTCCCAAGGGTGAAAACATTGGTGCCATTACTCAGCCCCTTCCCTATTCATATCTTATATTTTATGTTGTAGGGTCCCAAGGGTGAAAACATTGGTGCCATTACTCAGCCCCTTCCCTATTCATATCTTATATTTTATGTTGTAGGGTCCCAAGGGTGAAAACATTGGTGCCATTACTCAGCCCCTTCCCTATTCATATCTTATATTTTATGTTGTAGGGTCCCAAGGGTGAAAACATTGGTGCCATTACTCAGCCCCTTCCCTATTCATATCTTATATTTTATGTTGTAGGGTCCCAAGGGTGAAAACATTGGTGCCATTACTCAGCCCCTTCCCTATTAGTATCTTATATTTTATGTTGTAGGGTCCCAAGGGTGAAAACATTGGTGCCATTACTCAGCCCCTTCCCTATTAGTATCTTATATTTTATGTTGTAGGGTCCCAAGGGTGAAAACATTGGTGCCATTACTCAGCCCCTTCCCTATTCATATCTTATATTTTATGTTGTAGGGTCCCAAGGGTGAAAACATTGGTGCCATTACTCAGCCCCTTCCCTATTAGTATCTTATATTTTATGTTGTAGGGTCCCAAGGGTGAAAACATTGGTGCCATTACTCAGCCCCTTCCCTATTAGTATCTTATATTTTATGTTGTAGGGTCCCAAGGGTGAAAACATTGGTGCCATTACTCAGCCCCTTCCCTATTCGTATCTTATATTTTATGTTGTAGGGTCCCAAGGGTGAAAACATTGGTGCCATTACTCAGCCCCTTCCCTATTCGTATCTTATATTTTATGTTGTAGGGTCCCAAGAGTGAAAACATTGGTGCCATTACTCAGCCCCTTCCCTATTAGTATCTTATATTTTATGTTGTAGGGTCCCAAGGGTGAAAACATTGGTGCCATTACTCAGCCCCTTCCCTATTAGTATCTTATATTTTATGTTGTAGGGTCCCAAGGGTGAAAACATTGGTGCCATTACTCAGCCCCTTCCCTATTAGTATCTTATATTTTATGTTGTAGGGTCCCAAGGGTGAAAACATTGGTGCCATTACTCAGCCCCTTCCCTATTCGTATCTTATATTTTATGTTGTAGGGTCCCAAGGGTGAAAACATTGGTGCCATTACTCAGCCCCTTCCCTATTAGTATCTTATATTTTATGTTGTAGGGTCCCAAGGGTGAAAACATTGGTGCCATTACTCAGCCCCTTCCCTATTAGTATCTTATATTTTATGTTGTAGGGTCCCAAGGGTGAAAACATTGGTGCCATTACTCAGCCCCTTCCCTATTAGTATCTTATATTTTATGTTGTAGGGTCCCAAGGGTGAAAACATTGGTGCCATTACTCAGCCCCTTCCCTATTAGTATCTTATATTTTATGTTGTAGGGTCCCAAGGGTGAAAACATTGGTGCCATTACTCAGCCCCTTCCCTATTAGTATCTTATATTTTATGTTGTAGGGTCCCAAGGGTGAAAACATTGGTGCCATTACTCAGCCCCTTCCCTATTAGTATCTTATATTTTATGTTGTAGGGTCCCAAGGGTGAAAACATTGGTGCCATTACTCAGCCCCTTCCCTATTAGTATCTTATATTTTATGTTGTAGGGTCCCAAGGGTGAAAACATTGGTGCCATTACTCAGCCCCTTCCCTATTAGTATCTTATATTTTATGTTGTAGGGTCCCAAGGGTGAAACCATTGGTGCCATTACTCAGCCCCTTCCCTATTAGTATCTTATATTTTATGTTGTAGGGTCCCAAGGGTGAAAACATTGGTGCCATTACTCAGCCCCTTCCCTATTAGTATCTTATATTTTATGTTGTAGGGTCCCAAGGGTGAAAACATTGGTGCCATTACTCAGCCCCTTCCCTATTAGTATCTTATATTTTATGTTGTAGGGTCCCAAGGGTGAAAACATTGGTGCCATTACTCAGCCCCTTCCATATTCGTATCTTATATTCCGGGCAGAGTCAGAAGCAGCAGGTAAGCCAATGTTTTGCTTATTATCCCATTGAACAAAGTTTAGGGGGATATGAAGAATCGCTCCTTTTGTACTATGGTACATATGGAACTCAATAACTCACAATACCAATATTATTTATTTTTTATACACATATGCCCCATGTTCTGTTGAAAGTTGATTTTCAAAATGGCCACTATTTAATAAGCTAATCTAATCAATGCATTCTGGGCACAAACCGCTAATGATAATTAATGATAATTACCAGGTTACACACTAGAACACTAGACAGACTTAGGTTAATCATGTGATATGACAACATGAACTTTGGTGTAGATATTTGAGGGAGTTTCAGGAATATTTTCCATATTAAGGGCTATTTTCAAGTTTTTTGAGAAGAAATTAGAGTGATGAGCTGCCCTCTCTTAAAGCCTGCCAACCAATTAACTTTCTTGAACCTGAACAAATATAACTTTTGGCTAAACACTCAATACTCTCGAATGTACTTTCATGGCCTTTTATAGGAGATGGAATGTGAAATAAATGTTAGCTCAAATGTAAAAAAGAAGAATCATGATTCTCCAACTACATATTCGTTTTGGATCAAATCATCAATCAGCTCTTATTTGAAGAGTTAAGACAAAGCTAAACTTTTGTGAAGGGTATATGTTCTTCTACTGATTCAGGTAAATGCTGGATGGATGCACTGGAGCTTGCATTGAGGTGTTCAAGTTTATTAATGCGCTCAATGAAGGATAAAGACACCCCATTGGCTGATGAATCCTACCTTACTCCCACATTTAGACTTGGAGACTCGGATCAACTTAATGAGAGTGATTATGAACGTCATTTTAAAGAAGTTGGTATGTGTTAGAATTGTGTTTAAACAATGCTAAACAGCAATTGCTATCAATATGGGTTAAAAACATCTCAGTCTTATGTTCTGTTACAAAATTGCAAATCTGCTGCCTCATTATTGTTAATGAAATGTAAATGAATGTCCTAGATGGAGACTATAAGACAGACAAAGATGATAAACAGAGTGAGAAGACTGATAGTGAGAAGAGCACAGATGTGTCAGATGAAGAGAAGGATGTCTATGATGATGACCTTGAGCCAATTGAGAGCCCATATGTAGCTGATGCACCAGAGGAGCTTGGTCTACAAGGGGATGCTAGTCAGACTGAGGAAGTTGCTGAGGAAAATAAAAGTCTTATTTGGGCACTTGTTAAACAGGTGAGGTTTGATTACCATGGCAAATGGCCATCTAAAAAAATATGTATGTCTTCATATTATCATGGCATGTCATATCTTTTTTTAGATAAAACAGATCAACATTTCAATATGAACCAGTTGCCTTGTTTGTTTTTACCAGTTTGTGTATACGAGAGTGTGATGTCAGTAATATCAAATAAGCTGTAGTAGTGATATAATAGCCTTGGTGTTGTTCATTTCCCCAGGTGCGACCAGGTATGGACCTATCAAAAGTGGTGCTACCAACATTTATCTTAGAGACCAGGTCTCTGTTGGATAGATTCTCTGATTACTACTACCATGCCGATCTCTTGTCACAGTAAGTAAACCTTGATCTATTACAATATTATTCTCTGATTACTACTACCATGCCGATCTCTTGTCACAGTAAGTAAACCTTGATCTATTACAATATTATTCTCTGATTACTACTACCATGCTGATCTCTTGTCACAGTAAGTAAACCTTGATCTATTACAATATTATTCTCTGATTACTACTACCATGCCGATCTCTTGTCACAGTAAGTAAACCTTGATCTATTACAATATTATTCTCTGATTACTACTACCATGCCGATCTCTTGTCACAGTAAGTAAACCTTGATCTATTACAATATTATTCTCTGATTACTACTACCATGCTGATCTCTTGTCACAGTAAGTAAACCTTGATCTATTACAATATTATTCTCTGATTACTACTACCATGCCGATCTCTTATCACAGTAAGTAAACCTTGATCTATTACAATATTATTCTCTGATTACTACTACCATGCTGATCTCTTGTCACAGTAATTAAACCTTGATCTATTACAATATTATTCTCTGATTACTACTACCATGCTGATCTCTTGTCACAGTAAGTAAACCTTGATCTATTACAATATTATTCTCTGATTACTACTACCATGCCGATCTCTTGTCACAGTAAGTAAACCTTGATCTATTACAATATTATTCTCTGATTACTACTACCATGCTGATCTCTTGTCACAGTAAGTAAACCTTGATCTATTACAATATTATTCTCTGATTACTACTACCATGCCGATCTCTTATCACAGTAAGTAAACCTTGATCTATTACTATATTATTCTCTGATTACTACTACCATGCTGATCTCTTGTCACAGTAAGTAAACCTTGATCTATTACAATATTATTCTCTGATTACTACTACCATGCTGATCTCTTGTCACAGTAAGTAAACCTTGATCTATTACAATATTATTCTCTGATTACTACTACCATGCTGATCTCTTGTCACAGTAAGTAAACCTTGATCTATTACAATATTATTCTCTGATTACTACTACCATGCCGATCTCTTGTCACAGTAAGTAAACCTTGATCTATTACTATATTATTCTCTGATTACTACTACCATGCTGATCTCTTGTCACAGTAAGTAAACCTTGATCTATTACAATATTATTCTCTGATTACTACTACCATGCCGATCTCTTGTCACAGTAAGTAAACCTTGATCTATTACAATATTATTCTCTGATTACTACTACCATGCTGATCTCTTGTCACAGTAAGTAAACCTTGATCTATTACAATATTATTCTCTGATTACTACTACCATGCTGATCTCTTGTCACAGTAAGTAAACCTTGATCTATTACAATATTATTCTCTGATAACTACTACCATGCCGATCTCTTGTCACAGTAAGTAAACCTTGATCTATTACAATATTATTCTCTGATTACTACTACCATGCTGATCTCTTGTCACAGTAAGTAAACCTTGATCTATTACAATATTATTCTCTGATTACTACTACCATGCTGATCTCTTGTCACAGTAAGTAAACCTTGATCTATTACAATATTATTCTCTGATTACTACTACCATGCCGATCTCTTGTCACAGTAAGTAAACCTTGATCTATTACAATATTATTCTCTGATTACTACTACCATGCTGATCTCTTGTCACAGTAAGTAAACCTTGATCTATTACAATATTATTCTCTGATTACTACTACCATGCCGATCTCTTGTCACAGTAAGTAAACCTTGATCTATTACAATATTATTCTCTGATTACTACTACCATGCTGATCTCTTGTCACAGTAAGTAAACCTTGATCTATTACAATATTATTCTCTGATTACTACTACCATGCCGATCTCTTGTCACAGTAAGTAAACCTTGATCTATTACTATATTATTCTCTGATTACTACTACCATGCTGATCTCTTGTCACAGTAAGTAAACCTTGATCTATTACAATATTATTCTCTGATTACTACTACCATGCCGATCTCTTGTCACAGTAAGTAAACCTTGATCTATTACAATATTATTCTCTGATTACTACTACCATGCTGATCTCTTGTCACAGTAAGTAAACCTTGATCTATTACAATATTATTCTCTGATTACTACTACCATGCTGATCTCTTGTCACAGTAAGTAAACCTTGATCTATTACAATATTATTCTCTGATAACTACTACCATGCCGATCTCTTGTCACAGTAAGTAAACCTTGATCTATTACAATATTATTCTCTGATTACTACTACCATGCTGATCTCTTGTCACAGTAAGTAAACCTTGATCTATTACAATATTATTCTCTGATAACTACTACCATGCTGATCTCTTGTCACAGTAAGTAAACCTTGATCTATTACTATATTATTCTCTGATTACTACTACCATGCTGATCTCTTGTCACAGTAAGTAAACCTTGATCTATTACAATATTATTCTCTGATTACTACTACCATGCCGATCTCTTGTCACAGTAAGTAAACCTTGATCTATTACAATAGTATTCTCTGATTACTACTACCATGCTGATCTCTTGTCACAGTAAGTAAACCTTGATCTATTACAATATTATTCTCTGATTACTACTACCATGCCGATCTCTTCTCACAGTAAGTAAACCTTGATCTATTACAATATTATTCTCTGATTACTACTACCATGCCGATCTCTTGTCACAGTAAGTAAACCTTGATCTATTACAATATTATTCTCTGATTACTACTACCATGCTGATCTCTTGTCACAGTAAGTAAACCTTGATCTATTACAATATTATTCTCTGATTACTACTACCATGCTGATCTCTTGTCACAGTAAGTAAACCTTGATCTATTACAATATTATTCTCTGATTACTACTACCATGCTGATCTCTTGTCACAGTAAGTAAACCTTGATCTATTACAATATTATTCTCTGATTACTACTACCATGCTGATCTCTTGTCACAGTAAGTAAACCTTGATCTATTACAATATTATTCTCTGATTACTACTACCATGCCGATCTCTTGTCACAGTAAGTAAACCTTGATCTATTACAATATTATTCTCTGATTACTACTACCATGCTGATCTCTTGTCACAGTAAGTAAACCTTGATCTATTACAATATTATTCTCTGATTACTACTACCATGCTGATCTCTTGTCACAGTAAGTAAACCTTGATCTATTACAATATTATTCTCTGATTACTACTACCATGCTGATCTCTTGTCACAGTAAGTAAACCTTGATCTATTACAATATTATTCTCTGATTACTACTACCATGCTGATCTCTTGTCACAGTAAGTAAACCTTGATCTATTACAATATTATTCTCTGATTACTACTACCATGCCGATCTCTTGTCACAGTAAGTAAACCTTGATCTATTACAATATTATTCTCTGATTACTACTACCATGCTGATCTCTTGTCACAGTAAGTAAACCTTGATCTATTACAATATTATTCTCTGATTACTACTACCATGCCGATCTCTTGTCACAGTAAGTAAACCTTGATCTATTACAATATTATTCTCTGATTACTACTACCATGCCGATCTCTTGTCACAGTAAGTAAACCTTGATCTATTACAATCTTATTCTCTGATTACTACTACCATGCCGATCTCTTGTCACAGTAAGTAAACCTTGATCTATTACAACATTATTCTCTGATTACTACTACCATGCCGATCTCTTGTCACAGTAAGTAAACCTTGATCTATTACTATATTATTCTCTGATTACTACTACCATGCCGATCTCTTGTCACAGTAAGTAAACCTTGATCTATTACTATATTATTCTCTGATTACTACTACCATGCCGATCTCTTGTCACAGTAAGTAAACCTTGATCTATTACAATATTATTCTCTGATTACTACTACCATGCCGATCTCTTGTCACAGTAAGTAAACCTTGATCTATTACAATATTATTCTCTGATTACAACTACCATGCCGATCTCTTGTCACAGTAAGTAAACCTTGATCTATTACTATATTATTCTCTGATTACTACTACCATGCCGATCTCTTGTCACAGTAAGTAAACCTTGATCTATTACAATATTATTCTCTGATTACTACTACCATGCTGATCTCTTGTCACAGTAAGTAAACCTTGATCTATTACTATATTATTCTCTGATTACTACTACCATGCTGATCTCTTGTCACAGTAAGTAAACCTTGATCTATTACTATATTATTCTCTGATTACTACTACCATGCTGATCTCTTGTCACAGTAAGTAAACCTTGATCTATTACAATATTATTCTCTGATTACTACTACCATGCTGATCTCTTGTCACAGTAAGTAAACCTTGATCTATTACTATATTATTCTCTGATTACTACTACCATGCCGATCTCTTGTCACAGTAAGTAAACCTTGATCTATTACAATATTATTCTTTGATTACTACTACCATGCCGATCTCTTGTCACAGTAAGTAAACCTTGATCTATTACAATATTATTCTCTGATTACTACTACCATGCCGATCTCTTGTCACAGTAAGTAAACCTTGATCTATTACAATCTTATTCTCTGATTACTACTACCATGCCGATCTCTTGTCACAGTAAGTAAACCTTGATCTATTACAATATTATTCTCTGATTACTACTACCATGCTGATCTCTTGTCACAGTAAGTAAACCTTGATCTATTACAATATTATTCTCTGATTACTACTACCATGCTGATCTCTTGTCACAGTAAGTAAACCTTGATCTATTACAATATTATTCTCTGATTACTCCTACCATGCCGATCTCTTGTCACAGTAAGTAAACCTTGATCTATTACAATATTATTCTCTGATTACTACTACCATGCCGATCTCTTGTCACAGTAAGTAAACCTTGATCTATTACTATATTATTCCGACCTTCTAAACTGGCACCTGCCCCAATTTTAATAAATCAAGAACACTTGAAATGTAAACACCTGCTAATCTGAACACTTTTGGCTGGTGCAAGTGACTTTCAAATTTAATAGTTACTCCTTGACACTATGCATAAAAAGCAAAATGTTGGGCTAAGTATAAAGTGGACAGTTTATTATTTCAACATGTATGATGTACTTTACATTACCTTTAACGTAATTCAACAATGAAATCTTAATGAAGAGATATGTGTTAAACAAGATTGTAAACAAGATCTTGTAAACCTGTACCTGCCCAACTTTGATATCTACTTTTACCTTCTGTTTTACTATTACTAATTTGATTGTGTTACTCTAAACCTGAACACTTCTAACTAAATCCCAAGAGTGTTCCTAATTGGAGGAGTTTTACAGAAACAATCATTTATTAAATAGTTTTCTCCACATGTTTCAGGGCAGTTCAGCAGGAAGATGCTTACAGTCGTATTAAAGCTGTTGTAAGATGGTATATTGCTGGATTTTATAAGAAACCAAAGGTTAGTGAGGGGCTTTTTACTTTAGAAAAAACTCATATTTCAAAACTTATTGTTTAGATGAATAGTAATAACATTTTTAAACTAGATATTACTATTTGGCAACAACACACATTTGATTATGGAGAGAATCGTTCAAGAAAACGCTTTAAATGGAGAAAACAAAATATTTTACAAAAGTCTTCCACCAGAAGGGAGGCCATCTTGTTGAAGAGACACAGTTCCTGTGTAATGCATTGAGACCCAGTGAAAAGGGTTCCTGTGTAATGCATTGAGCCCCAGTAAAAAGGGTTCCTGTGTAATGCATTGAGACCCAGTGGAAAGGGAGGCCATCTTGTTGAAGAGACAGGGTACCTGTGTAATGCATTGAGACCCAGTAAGAAGGGTACCTGTGTAATGCATTGAGACCCAGTGGAAAGGGTTCCTGTGTAATGCATTGAGACCCAGTGAAAAGGGAGGCCATCTTGTTGAAGAGACAGGGTTCCTGTGTAATGCATTGAGACCCAGTAAGAAGGGTTCCAGTGTAATGCATTGAGACCCAGTGAAAAGGGAGGCCATCTTGTTGAAGAGACAGGGTACCTGTGTAATGCATTGAGACCCAATGGAAAGGGTTCCTGTGTAATGCATTAGACCCAGTGAAAAGGGAGGCCATCTTGTTGAAGAGACAGGGTTCCTGTGTAATGCATTGAGACCCAATGGAAAGGGTTCCTGTGTAATGCATTGAGACCCAGTGAAAAGGGAGGCCATCTTGTTGAAGAGACAGGGTACCTGTGTAATGCATTGAGACCCAGTAAGAAGGGTTCCTGTGTAATGCATTGAGACCCAGTGGAAAGGGTTCCTGTGTAATGCATTGAGACCCAGTGAAAAGGGAGGCCATCTTGTTGAAGAGACAGGGTTCCTGTGTAATGCATTGAGACCCAGTGGAAAGGGAGGCCATCTTGTTGAAGAGACAGGGTACCTGTGTAATGCATTGAGACCCAGTAAGAAGGGTACCTGTGTAATGCATTGAGACCCAGGGGAAAGGGTTCCTGTGTAATGCATTGAGACCCAGTGAAAAGGGAGGCCATCTTGTTGAAGAGACAGGGTACCCGTGTAATGCATTGAGACCCAGTAAGAAGGGTACCTGTGTAATGCATTGAGACCCAGTGGAAAGGGTTCCTGTGTAATGCATTGAGACCCAGTGAAAAGGGAGGCCATCTTGTTGAAGAGACAGGGTTCCTGTGTAATGCATTGAGACCCAGTGGAAAGGGAGGCCATCTTGTTGAAGAGACAGGGTACCCGTGTAATGCATTGAGACCCAGTAAGAAGGGTACCTGTGTAATGCATTGAGACCCAGTGGAAAGGGTTCCTGTGTAATGCATTGAGACCCAGTGAAAAGGGAGGCCATCTTGTTGAAGAGACACAGTTCCTGTGTAATGCATTGAGACCCAGTGAAAAGGGTTCCTGTGTAATGCATTGAGACCCAGTGAAAAGGGTTCCTTTGTAATGCATTGAGACCCAGTAAAAAGGGTTCCTGTGTAATGCATTGAGACCCAGTAAGAAGGGTTCCTGTGTAATGCATTGAGACCCAGTGAAAAGGGTTCCTATATTTTAAGACTTCAGTATGTCCGATGGTCCTAAATAATAAAGATAAAAATGTGGTAGATTAACTCATATTACATCGTTTATATGGAATATAAAGTTAAAAATTGATTCAATGAGAGACTTTGTCCTGAGATGTTTTTTACTTAGTTCATCTCTGATGGCACTCCAGAAACTGCTTTTTGTTCATTCCAGGGTCCGAAAAAGCCTTACAATCCTATCATTGGTGAAACATTTCGTTGCTATTGGAAACATCCTAAAACTGGTAGCAGAACCTTTTACATCGCCGAACAGGTAAATAGAGCGTCAAGATTTAATTGAATAACACAGAGTTGGATTTTTTACATTCATTTTACTCAACTAGAAATGTTCATGAGTCTTGAGAATGAAAAGTTGCCTTATTGTATTAAATGTAGTGTTTCTAATTTGTCATCTTAAACATTGCAGTAATCTTTTCACCATGTTCCATTTATGTTCAATTGCTTTGTAGATATCTCACCATCCACCAGTTTCAGCATTCCATGTTTCTAACAGACAAGATGGCTTTAGTATTAGTGGCAGTGTGCTTGCCAAGTCAAAGTTTTATGGTAGGTCTATTCAGTTATTTCTATTAATTTGAAGTTTTTCCTTCAGGATGAAATGGGAAATTACCAAGGCTACTGCATTCATTTGTTCAATTCCAGTATGACCAAATTTCCATAGCTGATATTCAAAAAAGGATAACTTCATCACAAAATGATTTAAACTGACAACATTTCAATTGCACAAATTGTCTGAACACTTTGGTTTTGATATATTACATACATATGATAGTACATGTCTGTAGGATGGCTTGATTGCTTGCTGTTTATACTCAGTTATCTGTTTCTAAATAATAAAAATGTAAACCTTTGTGATTCAGGCAACTCTCTGTCTGCTATCATGGACGGCCAGGGAAGGCTGACATTCCTTAAGAGAGGAGAAGATTATGTTATAACCATGCCATATGCTCATTGTAAAGGTTAGTGAATTTAAGTTGTTTTAAAAAACTTCATTAAACTTTTGGGAATTATCTTTGGTCAGCCGTTTGACTCAGTCTCATAAAATCTCTTTGAAACATAACATTTTCTTAGAACTCTGTCCTTCTATGATATCGTGTAATATCTGACTTTCCATTTGTAGGTGTCTTAATAGGAACGTTGACCATGGAACTTGGAGGAAAGGTCCTGATTGGCTGCGAGAAAACAGGGTACAAGGCTGAACTAGAATTTAAATTAAAGGTACAAATTCTAAAACTAAATGATTGTGCAAATGGATTGAGTTTTATCAAATGTACATTACAAAATCAGTCTAGATTAGTTGAAAGGTTATGGCAGTCATTTATTCAATTGTGGCTCTGTACTATCAAATCAGTCAAACAATTTCAATTCAATTTCAATTGATTTATTCAACCATCACCCACTCATTAGACACAACAATACATTAACATATTTAATCAACACTTATTCTTATTTCAGCCTTTCTTTAGCAGTGGGGAGGCTTCCAACAAAATCTCTGGTAAAATTAAGCTTGGAGATGAGACACTAGCGACATTAGATGGACATTGGGATAAGGAGGTCTTCATACGTGATAAAAGTACAGGAGTAAGTGAATAATATTAATGACGGCTAAACATGATAGAATCTGTAGTCTTTTCGTATCACCAGCAAGTGTTGACATATTGTTTTAGTCTCCATCCTATATCTTGCAAGAAATGGTGAAGGAAGTACAGGAGAACCTGTCTACTCCAAACATCATTGGGACTGCCAAAAGTGTTTGCATTAGGAGGTCTACACATTTCAAGTTTAAACATTTATAGCTAGATTGCCCTCTCAACATTGTGACCTTATTTCAAAATCTTATTCAAATATCCAAATGAATATATTACTGGTCATATTAGAAAGACAAATTGCAATTCTCCTTTTCGCGATTCGCTCTTTGAAACAGAACGTTCGCTAATCACCCTATGCAGACAGAGCCTGTGGGAAATATTGGGTGCGGAGCAAATGAGCGGAGGGTGCGGAGCTAACGGTTATTTTTGAATTTAAATTTGGGATATTTCTGAAACTAAGCCGTTTTGGGACTTCAAATATACCAAGATATGTGTATTTGACACCAAATATCAATACAATTGTGAAAATAGTAGCGCAATTCATTCTATAGCGACGCAGTGTGCCTTAAACCTTTCCCAGACCTATATATTTTGAAATTATCCTTTTAATACTGAGTCCCCAGCATTCATAAAAAATGGTGTTCAAGGTGCACTATCTATACAAATTATTTTTGCATCTTGGAAGCCAGGCAGTATCTGTGTGATTTTATAAAAATTCCGAAATTTTTTCAGATATGAGCCCCCTCTAAATATTGGGTGCGGAGCAGCTCCATAAACGTAGCTCCGCACCCAATATTTAGAGGGGCTCATATCTGAAGAACATTTCCGAATTTTTATAAAATCACACAGATACTGCCTGGCTTCCAAGATGCAAAAATAATTTGCATGGGTAGTGTATCTTGAACACCATTTTTTATGAATGCTGGGGACGCAGTATTAAAAGGATAGTCTCAAAATATATAGGTCTGGGAAATGTTTAAGGCATACTGCGTCGCTATAAAATGAATTGCACTACTATTTTCACAATTTTATTGATATTTGGTGTCAAATACACATATCTTGGTATATTTGAAGTCCCAAAACGGCTTAGTTTCAGAAATATCCCAATTTTAAATTCAAAAATGACCGTTAGCTCCGCACCCTCCGCTCATTTGCGCCGCACCCAATATTTACCACAGGCTCTGTCTGCATAGGGTGCTAATATGCACTGAAAAAGCACTCAAAAAGGACAAAATTTGATTGGTCAATCTTTTCCCACTATGCATTTCGCGTAGCTATTTGCGTGACACGAAAGTTCTAAATCAAACTAACTACTCAATTTTGTTTTTACACTCGCACGCTAAATAAAACAATGACACCATCGGAAGTATTCTTCTTTGTCATTGCTTTAATAGTCAGTATACCGAGTTTAATCAATAAAAGATTGTACAACGAACAACAAAATTCGGAAACGAGTACTATAGATTTGCTTTCGGACCACTGAACGGATTGACCTAGATAATAGCGACGCGTCTTCTTTGGTCTACTGTTCAGTTGTTTGTGGGTTTTCAACGTAACTCTATAATGTAATTTGAAGATGAATACTTTTATTCAGTTGTTGCATCGATGTCGCAGTTTGTAGTGCGGTAAAATTGGCATGAAAGTCGAATTGGAATTGTTTTTTCCAATATGGCGACTAGTCTACTGATCACGTGACCTTCTCTTCCGGAATATTTTCTCACTTTTCAATCATCGTTTTCACCACGCTATGAATTAATACAATGAAAAAATAGCTGTTATATTAAGATTAATGAGAGATCAATCGTTTCTAATAATTTTTTCTGTACTCTCCTACGGGAATATGAACGAATATATCGTTTGAAAAATAGGTGTGAAAATCCCCATGTTAAACCTATGAGGGAAAATAAGGAAGTATAAATTTGTTCCTCCGCGAACTGCATCATGGGAAATATTTTGCCCTTATAAGGAAAGATTTTCGCGTCTTCTCTTTTGAAGAGGGAACAACGATTTCGAGAATTGAGACCATTCAACGTTTTTTCAAAACGATTATAGAAAATGTTTATTGTTCACATTGGGAAGTGATTACATTTTTTTAACATTGGCACCGATGGAAGAAAAAAATGGTACATGAAAAGTGTGTTCACATTGGGAGGTGTTTGGATAAGAGAGGTTTTCACTCAGATATACATGTTTCACTGTATGAAGAAACTTCTCATGTTTCAATTTTCTTTCTAGGAATCTGAGCTGTTCTGGCAAGTGACACCCGATGTGAGAATATCTCGACTGAAGCGGCATGTTGTAGCATTGGAACACCAGGGGGAGTTTGAATCTCAGAGGTAATATTGAAAATGAGGCAAATGATTCAACGAGACTTCATGATACTTGAGTCTACCCAATAAGAAAGCAGGAAACATTCCAATGATATGATGATGTTTTGATTTTAATTATCATTATTGTAATTACTACAAGAGGGTTCAATAACATTTAATTCATACTTAATCCTCTAATCTACTAAGTATAGGATAAATCAGTTATCTAATGCTCGATTTTTGATACAGGGAATATCCCTCGGTAAAAACAAAATATCAACCCTCGGTCCCTACAATGCCTCGGGTAGATATATTGTATTCCTTCAGATATACCCTGCATGGGCGTTGCGCTATATTTCTAAGAAGTACGCCACTGCAGGAACAATAGTTGAGCAAAGCAAAAAACGAGCATTTAGGGGGGTCTGTGGATTCTCCCCCAGGAAAATTTTGAAATTTGGTTGTATTTAGAGCGAATTTGCAACCATCTGGTACGCCTGTGCGTACCCAGCGTACCGGGCGCTACGCCTATGCCCTGTATGAAAAACCTCCCATTAAATAACCTGTATATATTATCCAACTATAGGTTATGGCAGCAAGTAACTGAAGCAATAGTGCGTGGGGACCAGTCAGCCGCCACCCAGGAGAAGTTTATCCTTGAAGAGGCCCAGAGACAAGGAGCTAAGGAGAGAAAGGCAAAAATGGAGGAGTGGACACCAAGGCTGTTTGAACGAGACATGATTACAAGTGATTGGGTCTATAAATACGCAGAGTAAGTGGATGTGCCATTTCACATATTTGGTTTAGGTGGGCATTAAGGTAGGCGCGACAAGACAAAGTATGAACATGTTTGTGTATTACATTCACATGACTCGCCTTTACCTTAATATTTGTTAATTGGTCCATGAAGGCTACCTTAATGTGTTTGAGCGCTCCAATAGATAGCAGGCCAGTAGGTGGAATGTTTAATATCTCTTCTCTAGTAGTAACTCTCTAAATTAAGTTCATACTTTTAATTTTCAGTTTACGGCCTTGGGATGCCTTTAACGACTTAGTGCAATATGAAAATGACTTTATTATCAAGACAAAAACACGTCACAAAACGCCTCTTGTAAGAACAACCAGTATTATGAGCGTGGAGAAATCGCAAGAAGGATTACGCAATCAGAAGCGGCAAGCATCGATAGAGCGTGTCCGAGCTGTTAGAATGCGGTCAACAAGAACACATTCGAGACAGAAGATGATTATAAATGATAGCGGAAGTAGTACACCAGACCAAGATGTGTCTCATCGACTGGAGGAGAGTTCTACAGATTCTACAGGTATGGATTCAACCAAGATATACATTTGATTTAATTAACTTAGCTAATTGATTTCGTTTAGTTTTATTTTGTATTTGTAGTTCTTCAGCTACATATGTACAAAATTCAATAGACTCCTTTTCATTCAGTTTTGTACTTTTGTTCTCCAAAATCATATAGAGATTACAGCTTAGATATTTTTCCATTGTTCCTTTCAGAAGAAACTCCGCATAGCCTGAGCTACAGAACGCTTAAGCGAGCCCTTGAACCGATTCAGGAGCTGCAATTTGAACAAAATAAGAAACTCACCTCAGTTTCGGATCAGGTGCTAGCTCTACAGTATAGAAGAACTATGCCCGAACAGGGTTACTCCTTACAGAATCGGGACTGGATGATTTTAGCAATCCTCTTAGGTTTCCAGGCAATATTTTTCTGGTTATTGAAATGATTTAATAACTTAAAATGCCTTATGTGATATTTGTCTGATTGACTAGGTGGGAAATGAAATCCAACAGCACCTGAATGTACACATAATTATGTCTGCTCCTGATATACATGTATAATTCACATATTATTGGGCAAAACTCACTTTGACAGACAAGAACACCAGATCTTTATTGTAAACATAATAACCTGGGCCTGCCAACATTGCCTATTAATTTTAATATTATGATGATTCTATTGAACTTGCCATTATGGACATGGCTGAACTCAGTGTAGTCTTTTGGGACATTTTACATATATTCCTAAATCAGTTATGCTCTTCTTCTTCAAACAATCTTACAATAACACTTCAAGCAATATTAGAGTCTGGTTATTAATATTTATTAAGACCACAAAAGCAAGTTATTCTTCTATAATCCAGGATTTACAAGGTACAAATACAATGTATGCCTTAAAGAACTCTGGTTGTGTCTATTTGACTACATTTCTAATTATGTATTTCTATATATTGAGTGTTATTTCTTGCTAGTTCAATGTGTTTTGACATTATTTTATTTTAAACCCTTCACACTATTTGCCCAAACATGAAATCCCAAATAGACACTACCAGAGTGATAATTGAAGCACATGCAATAAGGTACAGATCTCAATGGATAGTACAATCATATGAAATACTACAATATTGAAACATGGTACAATAATATAACATGGTACAATACTATAATTTAGCATGCTATAGTATCAGTACAAGGAACTATAATGTAATATGGTACAATAATAAAACATGGTACAATAATGTTACGTAATGCAAAAATGTAACATGGTACAACAATGCGATATGGTGCGATAGTGTAACATAGTACAATATTAATGAGTTTTTGAGGTCAGTATAACACAAATCCACATTATACTCAAACTATATAAACTGAGTGCCTCACACTTATAGAAACGGCTGAAGAAACAGTTTGCTAGCCAGCTAGCCCTACCTATTTAATTATGAGTATGCATGTACTCACACTTAATTTGCATAATATCCATTTACTCAATATTTTTGTTAGGTGAACAGCGATTTGAATAAACTAAGTACTTTTCCACTTTTATTTTTATCCAGTCTAGTGTGTTCAGTCAAGGCAAGCTACAATGAGGATGTCATTTGATGAGGAACAGGGGTTAATTCAAAACAATCACTACAATGTCATTTGATGGGGAATGGTGGTTAATTCAAAACAATTACTACAATGAGGATGTCATTTGATGGGAATGGGAGTTAATTCAAAACAATCACTACAATGAGGATGTCATTTGATGAGGAACAGGGGTTAATTCAAAACAATTACTACAATGAGGATGTCATTTGATGGGAATGGGAGTTAATTCAAAACAATAACTACAATGAGGATGTCATTTGATGAGGAACAGGGGTTAATTCAAAACAATTACTACAATGAGGATGTCATTTGATGGGAATGGGAGTTAATTCAAAACAATCACTACAATGAGGATGTCATTTGATGAGGAACAGGGGTTAATTCAAAACAATTACTACAATGAGGATGTTATTTGATGGGAATGGGAGTTAATTCAAAACAATAACTACAATGTCATTTGATGGGGAATGGTGGTTAATTCAAAACAATCACTACAACGAGGATGTCATTTGATGAGGATTGGGATTAATTCAAAACAATCACTACAATGAGGATGTCATTTGATGGGAATGGGAGTTAATTCAAAACAATAACTACAATGTCATTTGATGGGAATGGTGGTTAATTCAAAACAATCACTATAATGAGGATGTCATTTGATGGGGAATGGTGGTTAATTCAAAACAATCACTACAATGAGGATGTCATTTGATGGGAATGGTGGTTAATTCAAAACAATTACTACAATGAGGATGTCATTTGATGGGAATGGGAGTTAATTCAAAACAATAACTACAATGTCATTTGATGGGGAATGGTGGTTAATTCAAAACAATCACTACAATGAGGATGTCATTTGATGGGAATGGTGGTTATTTCAAAACAATCACTACAATGTCATTTGATGAGGAATGGGGGTTAATTCAAAACAATCACTCACAATTTTGCCAGATATTTATTCTTGACTACCACCTAAGAATTGTTACGTTTCTAAGGAAGAAGAATTTGGAGACTTGTGTACAATATTTTTGTGTATAAAAAGTCATTTTGAAGAATTTGAGCTTTAACTTCCTGTTTATCCATTTAAGATCTATGTCTTATCTGTGACCCTGCTAGAACCTTTCAGATTTGCAGTTGTTCATATTTTGAAGGTTTTCAGCATGGAAATCTGTGGCTGAATTGAAATGAGAATGTAAAAAAGTGTTTACATTATAAGGTCTCTAAATTAGAGAGGTTCTTGGATATATGTATATCCATATTGAATATCTGAGAGTAGAAGAACACTCTACAGGGAGGTATGCATCAGATGAGTGTTAATATCCACAGTAAATAGTATAGCGAAGCTAGTATAGAGGTTAAACCTATTAGTCTTCAATGCTAAGATTTGCCATGGGGTTGGAAAGGAACTTCCAACATGTGGTTGAAGATTTTAGATTTTATGATAATATCTAGAATAGGGGAACATTTTCAGATATTTTAAGGCATAATATATTTTATCTTTATTTAGATTAAAATTATATTCAGTATATTTATTTGTATTATTTTATCGAGATCACAATATAACGTGGCATTTACAGTACTTTGAATAATCTTTTTTAAAAGACCATCATTCTATTACATTTAATTATGTTATTATTATGATGCTTGATCCAAGCACAATTTTATATACATTGTATACAATCATGCATATTGTATTGTATACAACCATGCATATTATATAATACAATCTTGCTATTGTATTGTATACAGTCATGCATATTGTATTGTATACAATCGTGCATATTGTATTGTATTCAATCATGCATATTGTATTGTATACAATCGTGTATATTGAGTTGAATACATACACACTATATTGTATACATGCACACTTTATGAATAACTGTATACATGCACACTTTATTGTATTAATATGATTCCTTGGAAACACATTGTCATTATAGATTTGGCAATTAATGTTCAAAGAATTGGTAGCGATATGGTGAAATCAATTCAACATTGTTTTTCTCCTTAGCCAATTACTGTTGTAAACTGGAACTTGTACTTTTAAAACATGTAAATATTTATCTATTATAATTCAAAATACTTCCGAGCATTCAGTCTATAAATATGAATTTCAATATAAAATTGGTGTTAATAATTTCAACATAATATATTTTTGACATCTTTGGAGAAACACTTACTTGTACATAATGCTTTGACCCCATTCAGTGGTGCCACCTATTGACTAATTATATTACATTTCAAGAATATGATGAATGCAATAACATTTCATGTTATAAAACAGAGTTAAGAGAATATTTACATTTGTGTTTATACTCATTTCATATCATTTCTCTATAATGTAAAATAATATTGCATGTTATAAAACAGAGTTAAAATGCTCACTTCTCATCATTTCTCTATGATAGAAATGAATTCACTGAATTTCAAGTCATGCATAAGGCCTCTATCAAAAACATAACAGTATTTATATACCATTGGTCTTAGCATTATAATACACGCCCTCCTTTTAATTGCAATGTCACACCCATTTATACTGAATGGGGAAATGGTCTGAAAAGGGTGTGTCAAAGAATCAGTTAGTCTTGCTTAAAGACCCTGGACCCCTCCCCCCCCCCATATACTTTACTGTTGTGTTGGAGAAGAAGGTAAGGGGGGGGGGTCCACAGTCTTTGCGCAAAAGCTAAGAATCAGTATTATACAAGTTATAATAGGGCTGTCAACAATTTATTATTTATGTAAGAATATGCAATTAGATAAGTGTTGACAGATCTATTATGAGGTAGTTGATTGGGCGTTTATAGTTAAGTCACTTGTTATTAACATTCAATGTTCATGTGTTAAACATTAAATACATCTGTATTACATTATTAATAGATCAATAAAATAAATATATTAAAAGCTTTATTGTTATTCCACTCTGTAATCCTGACAATGACATTGTTACATTTCTAATGTAATAAATAAGACCTCAACTCTATATCGGAACATTATCATAATGATTTTTTTTTTTTTCACTCCAATATGCCCCCCCCCACATATTCAGGTGTCCTCTGTATATCGTGTGTGACTTTGTGCATCATATTACAATATGGAGGAGACTCTTATTTTCGACAAACGCTCATCTCAAACGATTTGAAAGAATAGGAAATGGTGGTGCGCGACTCTCCCGCCTTTAAGTATGATTATTAATAACACCTCATTTGGCGTACTTAATCATCAGATAACTTTATAGGTTTTGCATGTTGCATGTATTATTTCATACATTTATATTTATCACTCACACATAGTCGCACTTTGAAACTTCACCTATCGTGGAACTTTCGAGGGATAGTATGTTTGAGTTTGCTAGGAATGCATTGATAGGGCAACTGTAACGCCCTTCTAATACGTAATAACGACGGGAATGGAGGCTGCAGCTTGACTATATAGACTACTATGGTGTTTAAACTGCTGTTTTATCCGGTACATTAAATATTCCCTAAATACCAAATAAAACAAACAATTTACCAAACCTTTACCCAATTTATCGAATGTTTTTTTATTTTATCGAATGTAATAATCTATACAAATTATAGTTTCACTTGTTCTTTGTGTTGGCATTCACATTTGATATATTTGAACGATGTTAATAGCTGCGCGGCCATTTTGCAAATCTCGAGGTCACGTGACAAAATATCGAACAACACCGAAAGTTATCGAATATTACTTTATTGCATTCGGTAAATAGCAAATTAGGTTTCGGTAAAATGCATTAACTATGTCATAGAAAAATAAACCATTCGGTAAATATAGGCAAACTTATTTCGGTAGGGTTCAAATAGAAATTCAGTATTGTGCATATAATGTGTTACTGTTATAAGGAATACCATAACAATTTACTTAAAAAACATATCATTTAGCGAATGAAATATGTAATTTAATGCATATAGTATTAAGTGATTGGCTATTTTGAAAACTTCATTTGCTGTAACAAACATATAACCGTTTTTACCGAATGGAAAAATGATTTAGCGAATATAAATATTTCATATATCGAATATATTTGAATTTAATGAATAAAGAAGCAAATATAATGCCATAGACAGCCAGCTTTATTTCTTCCTGCAATGATATACTAAGAATCAGGGTTATACCCATATTGTTGCTGACATATTATTATGTCTAGCGATACCAAAGTGAACATCCCGTATTATAAATAAACTATGTGATATTATATCGATAGGAAAAGTAAAATTGTCCATTTGGTAAAAGGTGCAATAGGAACTAGAAATGTTCAGTAGGCAAAAGTAAACATTCATTTTGTCATAAAAAACTTTTTCAACTGTTCTTCTAATTATTCCAATCAAATAAGTTCCTTTTTTGTTCTGGTAGAGGTAAACAAATTCTATACAGTTCACTTCTGGTTAGGTAAACAGTAGTTCACTGTCCTGCAAACGTCGTTCATTCCACAATAGCATCAAAACTTTGTTGACGATTTGCCGGGCTGGATTTACGCCTTCGGTAGCCTAAGTTATCAACTCCCTGTAATCGTGCAAGATTGTTGGAGGACGTTAACGTTTTCTTTTGTTGTTTTGGGTTCACTACAAAGTCTTCAACGTAGTTTGATACAAAGACCAACTGTCTATGTCTCACCAACGCAGGTCCCCAGTCCATAGTTGGCTGGCAAAGATATCTGATTCGCTGAAATGACATGAGATTCTTGTGGTTTTCAGTTATTCTGGATATAAAAACAGTGGACTGATATAAAACCGAAAACATGGACTGATGTAATCTATGTTATGCCCTAAATAATATCAAACATGCCAAAGGTCCATGTGCAGTATGGCAAGTGATTTTAGACACTCATATCTTTCACCATGAGTACTTTCTAGGCATAAATACAGTGGTTTTTATTAAAACGATATGTTTTCTTTCAAGTGAAGTCCCCATGAAAAAATATCAATCGAACAATTCGAAAAATTATAAATAGGGACCCCGCGTCAACAATTTTTTCAAAATGTTGAACTTGTTTGCTTAAAAGAGGGTCTTCTTTTTCTGATTTTTATTGCATGAAAACATTATTAAACAAGGGGTCTAAAACATCTTCAAAAGTAGAATGGTATTGAAAGTCTAGTTTTGAAGATATCAATTCTCGATGACCAAAAGCGTGCTGAAAACAATGGATAGCATGAGCTTTCCTTAAGGGAAAATAACATAGGAAATATGGTTTTTAACTTTATTGCAATCCAATACTAATCTAGTACCCATCCCCTTTTCAGAAGTTATTAATATAGTGTAGAAGAAACTTTTGATACATTTAAATTGAGAAAAACAAGATCCTCTTTTTAGAAAATAAGCCTTACATTTTTAAAAAAGTGACAAGGTGGGGTCCTAATCCATAATTTTTCAGAGAGTGGGATTGATATTTTACTATCATGGGGACGTCACTTTAAAGAAAACATATTGTTTTAATAAAAACCACTGTATTTATCCCCAAAAACACTCATGGTGAAAGATATGACTGTCTAAAATCACTTGCCATACTGCACATGGACCTTTTTGGAATCCATAAACTTTCGTGAATATTCAAAACGCTTGACATTGGTTTACATACACTCCACTCTAAAAGTTTGACATTGATTAACATACACTCCACTCTAAAGGTTTGACATTGATTTACATACACTCCACTCTAAAAGTTTGAAATTGATTAACATGCACTCCACGCTAAAAGTTTGACATTGATTTACATACATTTCACTCTAAAAGTTTGACATTGATTTACATACACTCCATTCTAAAAGTTTGACATTGATTTACATTCACTCCATTCTAAAATTTTGAAATTGATTAACATACACTCCACGCTAAAAGTTTGACATTGATTTACATACATTTCACTCTAAACGTTTGACATTGATTTACATACACTCCATTCTAAAAGTTTGACATTGATTTACATACACTCCATTCTAAAAGTTTGACATTGATTTACATACATTTCACTCTAAAAGTTTGACATTGATTTACATACACTCCATTCTAAAAGTTTGACACTGATTTACATACATTTCACTCTAAAAGTTTGACATTGATTAACATACACTCCACTCTAAACGTTTGACAACATCGACTTTTGCAGCACATATTAAATATTATTGTTGAGTGTATGCATGTATTGTCATATATTTCAGAGGAGCCAACTTACTTGGAATATGTTTCCATGTTTGGTTGTGATAATCTTGAATACTGCAGTGATAGGTATGAACATGAGGGACACTCCAGCCAACAACCAACCAATACCAGTGGCCCAATCAGGGTACGTATAAGTTTTACCATATTCCACCGGAGTGTATCGGACTGACGAGAAAACTATTATAAACTGGAAAAACATTATGTATCTTTGAGAGTTCACACATAAACAGATGTACATGAGTGTAGATAGAATAGTACTGTAATTTAGGTTCTCGATTGGTGGGTAAGGGGGTGTTAGACATTGTTTCACACATAAACAGATGTACATGAGTGTAGATAGAATAGTACTGTAATTTAGGTTCTCGATTGGTGGGGAAAGGGGGTGTACGACATTGTTTCTTTTCACATTATATCATTTTTTGAATATATAGGATGTATTTTCCTTATGACAGGTTAACACTTAGAGTTTACTTTCCTTGTTAGATTTCTTTACAATGATTGGTCATTTCCCTTTGGCATTTGCGCTGAGATATTTATGTTCTAATTGATTTATAATTATATATTTCTGATTATTTTCTGATTATTTCTACTTTAATACAAAGCAATTTGTTTTCCGTTCATCTCGATTGAAGTTGTATTTAAATAATGATCAAATCCAAATCATTTCTATTTTGTTTTGACTGTTATCCTATCCTATCCCCAAACTGAAGGTGACAGTAAAATGCATGTTGTAACACTGGAATCAAATTAGCCAAGTTTATATTGAACAAATGCTTCAAAACGAGAAAGCCAATATTCTTGAAGCGTTTGTTCATGTACCTACCAATACCATTGCTGGACATATAAAAGTCCAGCAAATTCTCCACCAGATCTTGCCAGGAGGTATATCTATCATAAGGTTGATGTCTTTAAGAAACCTTGATGAGCCATAGAACCAGGCCACAGCTATACACTCAAAGAAGCCGCATATCAGAAAAGTCCAGATGACAGCAAAATGATCCATTAGCGTTAATACATACATGCCAGCCTGAAGTAAAAAGGGTCCGGGTTTTGTTCATACATTTTTCTTAATACGAATCATGAATGCTTATTCAAAGTGAACAATATCAACTGACATTGACATTTTTGGTTTTAGCCCCCCCCCCGCCTTGTTAATTTCTGGATACGCCACTGGGTTTAATTACAAATAATGAATAGACTTACATTTGTTGTAAGGGGACAATTCAGTAATATTTAATGACAAATAATGAATGGACTTACATTTGTTGTAAGGGGCAGTCCACACAAGAAGAGCACACAGCATAAAACAAAGGTAACATGTGGCCGATATTTCCTCAACTTTGTGAAATTGTCCAATAATGATGTGCTGATTGCCTCTAGCATGCCAAAAACACTGTCCAGTCCAAGGCTAAGTAGTAGAAGAAAGAAAAGTATCGACCACAATGGTGGTACTGGGAGAACGGTGAATGCGTTGGGGTACACGACAAATACCAAGTCAGGACCTGAAAATGAAAGACATCAACATACCAAAATGAAAATGAAATGAAATACAAGCCACAGACTGCGACAAAAATGGTGACTATAAGATTACTAAAGCATTTCCCTAGTATACATAAACAGTTTTATATGTTATGAAGTCTCGTAAAAACGGAACATTTTTAAATTTGTGTAGAGCCTTGACAACTGAGAAATAAATAGAAGGTGAACCTTTGGCGGCTACGTCAGCGACATCGACCCCTAACTGGTTGGCCAGCACTCCAAGGTAAATGAAAACTACGAAGCCAGCATAGAAAGCAGTGATACAGTTCCCAATGGAGGCAATCAAAGCATCCCTGAAGTAAAAGCCATTCTCTTTATTATATTGCTCAATTAAGATGAAATCAAATTAATGATAAATAAAACATATAGTATGTATATTATCATCGTGAGGCATTCTTGTGCATTGCAGAGATGGTCTGAGTATCAGAATGGTATAATATATGAATAAGTGGAGTGATGTCCTTGGGAACTGAAAGGATATACTAAATATAATAATTCACAAGATTAAAAGCCGCAGCATTCCAAAAATGTAAAAGTACCTGAATATCTTGTAAAATCTGTTATAGCTGGCAAGTCGTTTAGTCCGCCCCTCCAAGATTTACCTAAACATGTTGTTATGAAACCTGTTATAACTGGCAAGTTCTAAGAGTCCACCCTCTCAAAGGCTTACCTGAATATGTTGTTGTGAAATCTGTTATAACTTGCAAGTCCTGTGAGTCCGCCCCCTCTTGGGCTTACATGAATATGCTGTTGCGAAATCTGTTATAACTGGCAAGTCCAATGAGTCCGCCCCTTCCAAGGCTTACCTGAATATATTGTGAAATCTGTTATAACTGTCAGTCATTCGAATCCGCCCCTTCCAAGGCTTACCTGAATATGTTGTTGTGAAATCTGTTATAACTGGCAAGTCCTATGAGTCCGCCCCCTCCAAGGCTTAGTGAGAAAAATACTTGTCCTGCTGCGTCTTTCCAAACCTGTTATATTATAATATCACAATATATTACAATATCAGTGAACCTTCGATATTACAACATTAGTAAGCCTGCAATATATTACAATACAATTAAATTTACAATATAACAATTTGCTCGTAAGTAAATCCCCAATATTACAATATCAGTGAGCCTGCGATATTACAATATCAGTAGATTTACAATATTTCAATTTCAGTAAACCTGCAATATTCAATGTTAGTAAATCTGCAGAATTTCAATATTAATAAACCTGCAATATTAAATGTAAGTAAATCTGCAGAATTTCAATATTAGTAAACCTGCAATATTTAATGTAAGTAAATCTGCAGAATTACAATATAAGTAAACGTGCAATATTACAATTTCAGTAAACCTAAGAGAGTAAACCTGCAATATTCAATACCCGGATTCAATATTAGTAAATCTGCAAGATTACACACAAGAACTTAGTATAGGTCCATGTGACATGGACGGCTTTTTGTGTATGTGTAGGAATATCTAAGCACGAGTGCCAAAGGGGAAAAAGAGGGTAGGGTGTTTCCTCTGGTGTGTCTGAGCGTTAACATCAGCTGTCTCTAGTCAGATCGACTAACAAAACAACCTTTTTCGGCGTTGTCGAGTTGGCCGAGATGTCTTAAGCGCCGGCACGTTCAGGCTAGGCGATTGGGCGCCATAACCACGAGGTTGCGAGTGCGAGACGCGTGTGCTCCTTGTGTTTATTCATTTAGACTGATCTTCATTTTTAGACCATTGAGATCAACCTTTGGGCATCTTACCTTCGCTTCGCCGAGTTTAGACCAATCAGTATTGTAAATGTAAAATTGAACACCCTCAAGCGCCCCTTTCTGGGTGGCCCCAAAGCCCAACATGATTGTTAGGATGATGTAGGGTAAAGTAGCAGTTAGATACACCACCTTAAAAGAGAAAAACAACATTAAATACCTTTTATCCATGTTCTAAAGAGAACAGTACAGGGCAACATAAAGAAAAGAAATTATGTTTTACCAGAATGTGTGGCAAACATTTTTGAATTTTGTTGAAGCGGACTTTTCTCCGATCGTTATCCAGGTAACTTCAGAGTGGGCAATAACGCCACTTTTAAGTTCCCTACATGCACTATTTTGAATTTATATAATGCCAAAGGTCCTGAGTAATTAAATAACAGAATGGATCCTTCGACTAGGATTGTATTTGATTTAAAAGTGGAGTTTAATTGGTCCGCCACCCTCTTAGTCGCCATTCTTATGTAGCAGTATCAATGAAATGTTGGCTAAGTTTTTGTCCTCATTGCCAGCTTTAGTTGGGCAATATTTCGAGACGGGGTGCATAAATACAATCTCCTCGAGACCTCCCAAAAAACTATTACTGGGGTTTGCATCAGGGCTATTACACTGAAGCTGGTTGGTCATAAACTGGCGTTTTTTGGCCCACCCTGTATATCTTCAAAGGGGAGCTTTAAATGCACATATTCTTCTATTAAATTCTCCGAGAACAATATATTAGAGTAATTGATGATTCCTAAAATATTCCATATCATGAGTAATATTATGATTCAATCAAAATAAACAATGCTATTTATTTTCCATCGACATACCAACCACAATGACTTCCTTATTTATACACTTATACACGTATTATATACGCATCAAGGAATTTATTCTTTCCCTTATCATACATTTAAACGTGTTGGGAGTATATTGTACGGGAAGGGGAAGGCTTGATCAAAACTATGGAATTAAGGAAAGACACTCACCTTGCCAACGGTTTTGATGCCTTTCATCATGCAGACAAAGACAAGGAACCAAGAAAGGAGTAGAGACAACACAAGATGATACTGAGGGGTCCCTATGTCATCGATACCAGCACTGATCTTCAGTGTGAAGAGACTGAAACAATTGGAATAAATATTATAGCACACGACAATACATATAACACAGTTTTTATAATACTGGATGAATGGGTTAAACCGGATACCAGTGTCAAAAGGCACCCGACTTTTGTGATTACGAGAAAGCATTCAGAAGTTGCAAATTGACTTCTGTAATAACTTGAAACCATCTTCTAATTCATTCGATTTACCTTTTATTGTTTCTTTAAGTATATTCTTTGAATATCAAATTTGATGGGTGTTAATTAGGGCGAGCCCGTGCCATGCCAGCCATTTCAAAATAGTTCCCAATTAAAAAGTTAAACGCTGTTTACAAATTGGAAACTATAATTGCAGAATCAATGAGAGGTTTTGAAAAAATTAGGATATGGTTTTCAAATTATGCAGGACAATATATAACTACTAAATGCAGGCAGGGACTTTTAATTGCCAAAAAGTTGAGTATAAAAAAACATCGGTATCTACTTTTGTTGAATGTAACATGTGACTCTAATCACGGCGGACATATCTAACGTGCATTTTCCCCTCCATAAACCAGAAATACGTTTTGGACCATTTTGGAATCTGGGGAGCTAATTAATACACACCTCATTAGCTTGTGATATAAACCAAAAACAACCTAATAAGGTGTGTATTAGTGATTAACTTTTCTGTTATCTCAAAATCTGCTTTGAACTATACCATTGGATTACTATGGAAAATTCCTCAAAGAGAAAATTGTTAGAATTAAGGAAGGGGTACCATTTGGCATTTACACAATTTGAGAAATTATTGGCACACATGAAACCTATTTAAAACAGCATTAAAATTATTCAAAAGTGATCGTAATAATTATTCCAAGCCCTCTGAAGTTTGAAAAATAAATAATCCTTGAAAATGAGAGATATTTTTTAGGATTATATGTTGCAATCTTATAGTCAATAAAATGTTTTAAAGTGTATTGATGTTTCCGAAATGCATGAAAAAACTCCCCAGATTCACTCTACAAACAATTCGCGGTCCTTTGTCATGAGTTCCGATATATTTGACTAATTGAAGGAATAAAATTAAAATGCAAACTCGTCAGACTTCGATGTGATAACTTCCGGTTGACTAACTAGTAGAGAGGAGGGTATTACAATAGTGCTTATTACAATAGTGCTTATTACAATAGTGCTTATTCAGTTTTACATCGTATTGAACAATCTAAAAATTTGAAAGTTCGATACATATTTGGTCATATTATGTATAATCTAAGCGTACTTGTAAAATTCTTGAGCTGGTGATACTTTAGTGATGTTCATTGCTGCTGTCACGTTGTTGTAAATGTTGTAATCCCAGATACCTATCTGGATTGAATTGTTATAACACGTCCCGTTGTCGTACTGTGTAAGGCCAGTGAAATTGCAGTTAACTTTAACCTGGTCGACACTACAGGCTGGAAAAAAGGTATTGGATATTTGTTTTGGATGTGCAAGTTCGTTTAAATGTGCTGAACAGTAAAATACAAGTAGCAAAGGGGAGACCATTTAAAGTATTAGAAAGACAGAAAGTTCGTATAAATGTGCTGGACAAATTGTGTCAATCAAGTTCTCTGCGTTCTTACTCACCATCAGTGTTCCAGTAATTATTGCAGTCCATCCATGGTAGATACCTTGTGAATGATGAGAATAGGTAAAATATTGACCAACCCATAATCATATTGTAATAGATCGCTAGGAATGCATAGGCCACTGAAATAGCAACCCCTATACCTAGAATATAAAAACGTGAGAGAATATTTTAAAGTATGATTTTTCATACATCTTGAATTCTGATTCTTGCCACAGAAAATCACGCCCCGTGAACGGAACAAATGAACGGAGGGGGAGTAGTTGATTTTCGCTAGAAAATCCAACAAATCTGGACAATTTATTTTTAAAAGAAAGTTTGCATTCAGTTTGTACTTTGAATATCTGGTATTCACCTTTGAATATCTGGTACTCACATTTGAATAAAGCCACACATCCCCAGACTAACGACATTTGAATAGTTTGCACTCACCTTTGAACAAAGGCACACATCTCCACACAGAGATGGGCCCACTACTGCTGAACTGAGCAATTGAGAGTTCCAGGAATGTAATGGGGATGCCAACAAACACCAACATGATAACATAGGGTATTAGAAATACTGCCCCACCATTAGTAAAGCACAAGTAGGGAAACCTCCATAGATTCCCTAACCCAACATTGATTCCTGCAAAACACATACCGAATATGTACATGTATGTACAATATAAATATTATATCAAATAAGATATGAAATAATTCATAATGAATTGAAGCTTTTTAGATTTTCACATTTTCAGTTTTATGCATACATGTGAAAGCTTTTACAAAATAAATAAATAAATCAGTTGTGGATGAACAGAGTTAATTTCGTTAGGCGGGAGGGGTAAATGAAATCGTAGGCAACGTCTTTTATCTATTTTGTTCTTTTCAATTAAGTTAAAATGATTAAACTGTTAAAAGGAATGGCAAGCAAACACTGAAGTTCCTGACTTGGCATTTTATCATTTCTGTGGGAATATATCTTAATTAGCATGAAATTCCATTTGTTTTATATTTGTGGGAATTGGAAACCGATCCTTACTGACTACGTGCTAAGCTACTATCACACCAAACTAGTTCTCACTATGTTCTCGAAAACAGGCTTCTACTGTGTACGAATGGACTGGACGTACTTAGAACCGTCTGGGGTCTATTTACAAACTTCATCGAACGTACTCGAACGGGTAGGTCCTCTAGAACTTAGAACATGCTCAAAATGTTCTCTTGGTCGTCACGTTCTACAATTAGAACGAGTGACCCTACTAACGACGGGCTGAACGTACTACGAACGGAACCGTCGCTCTTCAATCCTACTAGGGACGTTTTTACAACGAGTTGAACTGTCTGAGGACGTATTGAGAACGAGGTAGAACTAATTGCAAACGGGTTAAAACTGATTAAGAACGTATCTATCAACGAGTTTGCAAAAATATAGCTATCACACCAAGCAAGTTGCCGCTGCGTTCTTCAAAACTGGTTTTAAACTGTGTGCGAACGGAATGAACGTAGCTACAACGTTCTACGGTCTGTTTACGAACTTTATGGACTTTCCCGGACGGGGAATGTGATTTAGAATCTTGAATCGATTCAAAATTCGATGGCGACCATACCGTTCTGTAATCAGGTCATGATGACCTCCTAGACTAAGGGACGCGTTACACGACGTTGCACACCGACGTGGTGCGACCTGAACGATCTGCGAATGAGATGGACGTATTGAAGACTGTTTATGAACGAAGTAGCTAATTATTTAAGACATATTTCCCGACCACAGCCAGATTGAGCCCGTTTGACGACGTTTTCGTAGGACTGGCAAGAACGGGTAAGAACTAGTTTGGTGTGATAGGGGGGTAACGGATGGGTAATGGGTATCGATATGGTGAACTGAATTCAACAATGTTTTTCTCTTAAACCAATTATTGAAAACATTCTATAAAAAACACGGTCCTTTATGTAATGACTGATTGGCAACAATTTAATGCAAAAATTATTTATATATATTTTATATAACTCTTTTGTTGACATTTTTTGATTTTAGTGCAATTGTTTTTTGTTCCTTTCTTCCAATTCTTGAGAATGAAATAAAATGTCTTTCCGAACCCTGTTGGAACAAAATAGCATATACAACAGTTTCTTAGACCTCTCAAAATTATAGTTATACAAAGGAATTTTTTAAATTGACGATGTGTAAAATTTTCAGAACGTTTTGATAACTGGTTTAAGAGAAACGCGTGTTCAAAAAGTTCACCATATCGATACCACTTCTTTCCAAGTAAATCAAAATTTAGAGAGAGTATTTACAATAGAGTCAACAATGTTCATGCTCGTAGCACTCTTGTGCTCTCGGCACTGATGTACAACAATTTAAATATGATGGCAGATTCCATGTTAGAATTGAAGCCAGATGCTTGTTGGATTAATAATCCCAATTATATGTACTGCACAAAACTTATGATAAAATTATTAACTGGAACTTACGATTTAAACAGTAGACGTCGCGAGAGCGATACACCTGTGTGTAAAACGTGTAGTTGTGCTTTGCGAGCATAATGAAAATGAAACTGTTAACATTTTTTACTCAAATGTCCAGCTTTTTCTGAAGTAAGAGTACCGATGATTAACAGTGTAACCAGGAGGCCGTTATTAATATAACGTTTCGTTATTAACGAATCGTTAATTCAGTAGGTAATAACGATTTTACCGTTTCTCGAAAGTTAACGATTCGCGATGACGTCATGATTTTTAACAATGTATTCGTTATCCATGATTGATTTTACGAGTACGAATGGGGGTCTCGTTATTCCATTGACGATGCAGTGTCCATAGAAACGAATCCACGATTCGCTATTAACGATTCGTCAATAACGATAAGGTTCGAGAAACGGCCCCCTTTAATGTTCAAGATGACAATTTCATTCTCAAGTCAATACAAGTATCGTGTGTTGTGATTATGAGAAGCTATTAGAAATATCGCAGTACGTTTATACAGGGCGTATCAAAAAAGCGCAACAAGTAGTTATCTCGTAAAATCACAAAACTAGTGATGACTACATCAATTTCATTTAATGTACCATACAGCCATGTCTCTCCTCTTTGCAATGATATGTCATTCATTCACATGTGGTAATGGTTGGGTGAGAAATCCTTCCATTTGCACAGAGGGTAGTGGTGTCAATTAACCGCTTGAGCATTAACCGGTTAACCGGGGGTTTTTACCCGTTAAAGTCGGTTAACCGGCGGGAAATTTGAACTTATAATTTCAAATGAAATCTTCATCTTCGATCTTGAAAGTAGAAAAAAAGGAAAAAATGATATATCGGCGTTTATTTTTTACGGTCGTCAAGCTTTACGCTATTCCATGTAAGTAAGCGCGGGAAAGCAATCTGGCAGGGATTAAAGTTGCTGATTGGATGTTTGTAAGGAATTATCGGACCTATCACATGTATGAGTAGCTCACATGAAACTGACGCTTGAAAACAAACAGATTAAAATGCAAAGTAAGCGCGGGAAAGCAATGTGGCAGGGATTAAAGTTGCTGATTGGATGTTTGTAAGGAGTTATGGGACTTATGACATGTATGAGTAGCTTACGTGAAACTGACACCATAAAACCAAACGGATTAGCATGCAAAATAAGCGCGGGAAATAACAGAATTATACACGGTCAATTAACCGCCCATAAAAACTCAGACCGGTCAAGGCGTTATCGGCGGTTAACCGGTTAACCGGTTAATACTTGACACCTCTAACAGAGGGTCAAAATCGGCTCTGCACCAAGTTTTAGATATTGAAAAAATCAGTGCAAGGGCATCTGTGCTCACAATTCCTCCACCAGATATTGCAAAACCTCGAGAAAGATTTGCCCATAGGCTGCTTTTCTTTACTTTAACCCACACATGATTCAGGGCTGAACCATGCATGAGGTGGACAGATGAGCGCATCTTTATGTGCGAGGAAGTGGTGGCAATTGGAGGGGTATAGGATGTTTTCTTGCAACAGTATGAGTATGAACACTTTACTGTCTATGCCATACCTGTCACACCTTCTTCCACTAGCCCCTATGCCCCTTGTACTGACCTTTGCAATGTTTTAAACTTGTGTCCCAGCTGAATTTTGCCCCACTTTGCAAAATTAATGATTATTCGGCCAGAGATGACTCCCTGTGAATGAATGATATTCCATTGCAAAGAGGAGTAAATTGGCTTTTTGATACATTGAATTAAAAGGATGCAGTCAGCATTGGTTTTATGTTTTCTTCCAATATTGCATCGGGCTCCGTACACTGACTTTTGCAATGTTTATAACTTGGCCCGAAGCTAATTTTGGCCCACTTTGCAAATGGAATGATTACTCGCTCGACCATGACCAAATATCATTGAATGATATATCATTGTAAAGAGGAGATACATGGCTTTATGGTGCATTGAATGAAATCAATGCTGTTATCACTGGTTTTGTGCTTTTCTAAGATAAGAATCTGTTGCGCTTTTTTATACGCACTGTATAATGCACAAGCAGAGAAAATTGCTTTTATCAAATCACTACTCTTATTAATTTTTGATGCTATCCACTAATTTATAATTTTATGTAAAATATGAATGTTACTCTCTTTATATAAAGAGGTAAATCAATAGTATAGTTTCTAAATAGCAAAATAAAGCTGAATAAAGTTGACATAATAGATGTCACCTTTGTTCATCTTGGGCCAACCTTCCATTGAGTTCTATGCTAAAAGCTTGCAATAATCACTTAATTTCATGATTTATCAAAGAGTGTTAGTTAAATATGTCGGAAATTTGAATGGCATACTATTAAATGACCCTGTCAATGAACATATTGTGATTAAACATGAAAATGTTGGTTGTCATACTATTAAACCATGGTTTTAAAGAATTTTAGCACAACATCAATGGAGATTTGGCCCAAGTTTTTTTAAATGTCATGGAGAATGATTTAAATCGCATAAATGTGTAAATCAAAGCTAGTATTGTAGGAAACATATCACTGAATTCAAATATGCTATTAAAAAGAAAGTAAAGTAAGTCAATAGAGGTAAAATGTGCAAATCTCTTAAAATCTCATGAAAAAACGAGAATAAGCGAAATTTCAAAATCATTTAGAAACTCCTCTATTATACATACACGCATACTGAAATTCAACGTCCGCCTATATTTAATGAAATTATGTACAGTATTTCTAGTAATAATGATATGTTATTGTCATACTGATTGCTAAACACAAGATGCAATTATACGTGCATTCTCTCGTCAGGATGTTAAACACACCATTGGAAAGCTATGTTAGTCATGTTGAATGTAGTTTTACCCAGATTGACCATTCTGGTGTGCCAGATCTCGTCTTATTAATCTTTTAAATTGTTTTTAGTGTTTTTAAAGAACGGCAATGATAAATGTTTTTTTTGTTATTTTAATATACTGAACATAATGTAGGCCTGATGTTACGTGCGTTTTCTCATCTTGATCCAAAGTGACCAACTATAATGAAATTGGTCTTCTAACAATTGAGCATCACTTGAAATATGACATTACAGACTACGGCGATGTTATGGGGGCACGACAATGGGGGCACGACAATGGCTGCAATTTTGATGTTTGTACAAAAAGATTTCTGAAAAACGTGTATGTGAAATGTTGTAATATTTTCTAAGAAAAAAAACAAAGAAACATTTAGATTTTTGTATGATGGAGAACAACTCAAAATTGAAGACTCGTTCAAGTATTTGGGAGTCTGGTTCTCTTATAATGGGAATTTTCGCAAAAATGTTAATTTATTATTACGAAATGCAGAAAATGCTATGTATGGTGTCTTAGGCAGATGTACAGAGATGAGCTTGCCACTCGATATACAATTACATTTATTTGACTCATTAATTTTGCCAATTTTTACTTATGGATGTGAGGTATGGGGGTGCTCCAAAGCAATGCTCATGTGTGAAAAACTTCATTTAAAATATTGTAAATATATCTTGAGAGTTAAACGAGCAACTACATCATTTATGATATACAGTGAGTTAGGTAGATACCCTATTGAAATATCAATAAAAACAAGGATAATTAATTTTTGGACTAAATTAGTCACAAGTGACACTTTAAGTAGCAAAGTATATAAGGCAATGCTAAAACTATACCAGGAAGGTATTTATAAGTCACAGTGGTTTTCCAAATATCTGGATATCTCAAAGTTTTGATAGTAGATTTGCACTGAAATTAAGAGTTAAACGCAAACTAAAAGATCAGTTTATTCAAAAATGGAATACAAACCTTCAGGAAAGCACATATCATTTATACAAGGCAATTAAGACCAATATTAACTTTGAATCTTATCTCCATCACCCATTGAGCATACGTCTGTACATGACAAAATTTAGGATGTCAAATCATAATTTACCATTAGAAACTGGAAGGTATAATAATATACCAAGACATTCACGAATATGTACACATTGTAAAAAATTAGGTGACGAATATCATTTTATACTAGAATGTTTATTATTTAAAGATCAAAGGGAGAAATATTTAAATTCATACTTCCAAAACAGGCCAAATATGTATAAATTAACTGAACTATTTTCAAACAAAAGGTATACAATTCAACTAAGTAAATTTTTACAATAGCATTTTGAAAGGATTAAACTAAATAACTGCCATTAGATATTGTATCAATTTTGTATTACATGTATATTGTATATGTATCTATACTCACAGGTGTGGGTAGAAATAAAATCTTTGTGACAAAGAATTTCCTCCTGCTTGCAGCGAGAAGACGGACCGGTTCGGGGCAATAGCTTGCAGCGAGAAGACGGACCGGTTCGGGGCAATAGCTATAGAAATTCTTTGTCACAAAGTTTGGCATTTTTTATAAAATCAAACGCGCGTCATTGAAACTCACAAGATGTAAATAGCATGTCATTTACATCATACCTTGATGGGGAAAATAGATTTTATATGTTAGAAGTACTAAATAAAAGTTATCGTGAAAATGAGACAGTCGTTCTCGAGAGAAAAGAGCATAAATGCGCATTTAGAGAGTTTTGGTCCGTTTAAAAATCTGTAAAAAATTGGGGTACTTAAAAGCACCGGGAGGCATCATATATTTCAAATTAGACACGAGGAAGTCAATATTGAGCAAGTTATGGCTGTTTTAAATTTAAATAAAACCGTTAACCCGTACCGGTCCAGCTTTTGACCCGTACCGGTCAATTTTCGTTAGCTGCGTATACCAAGGGTGTATATGTAATATTGACGCACCTTTGAGTGCCATTGTTATAAAAGTGACTGTCAAATAAATAATAAATAAATATGTTTTTCTTGTGCGTTTATCATCGTGATTTAAAACGGTTAAACATATTTCAATTTCTAGTTTTTATTTTTACTTTTCTCCTCTAATTTTGCATATATTCATCTTTATATAAAAGAACGACAGCCGACCACCGACCAGGTTTGCCCAACTGTGGAGACAGACTTGTCGGTGGTCGATCTTTTTCATAAACCCACAATATTCACATCTTGACTTTACTGTACTGTTGTTATATCGAATAGGTGGTCTTAAGAATGCTCCTTACCTAGACAAGCCAGTATGAAGTCCCAATATGAGCCCCAATTTCCTCGCTCAACGTTTTCATCAATACCAAGACTGTAAAGCCGTTCATGGTGACTGCGACTGACATGTATACCACCTTGTATGCTACTATTACTGATTGATCGCCGATTTGAAAATTCATCTCGTGTAGTCGATGGATGATCAACTGAAATTCTTTGCGCATCGTCGGCACTTGTAATGGACCATCTTACACTCCGCGCCCCTGGAGACTTTGGCGGATCCTCATCTTGATCAATGTTGTACAAGTCATCAATCTGTTCCAGGGTGATGTTTTCTGCATCTTTACTATTCAAGTCATTTATCGTTTCGTTAGACATCTCATCATTTTCTTCACTGACTGAAAATTGGTTTGAGAACAAATCGTTGTCACCTGTTTTAAACAATTTAACTTTACGCGTCCTTGAGCCCTTTGAGGATTTATTTTTCTGATCAGTGTTGGACGTATATTCCCCGTCTTTAAAACTCCAGTTATTTCTATGAATTTCAGACATTTCAGAGAGTTGTTCGAGTGATGCCAGATTCTTTCCAGAATCTTCAGCCATCTTCAATCCATTTCGGAATTAAATCTAATACTTTTTAAATAAACTTATTTGCAATTTGACATTAAGGAGCCATATCTCATATGAACTATAATATGACCTTTAGTGTCCTTTTCGGCGTACCATGCGAATATAACATTAACCTTTATTTTTTTACTTTATTATATTGGGTGTAAAATTCTGCATTCAATTCAGTCACTATTAAAATCTCTGAATATATAATAAACATGAGATAAAATTCGCATGTAAATTCATAGTGTTAATGAAAAAGGACAGAGCATGGCGCTCTATTTATAAAGATATAGGGCCTTTGACAGAGTAGAGTAACCAACGAAATATGAATTAGGAACGTAGTACTTACCACGATTTTGAGAGTCATAGAATCCAAATATTTATCCCTTTCCACCTATTTCATACTTGTTGTTTCTCGTATACTACATTTTATTAAAATCTACAAAGTTCTAGTACGTTTTGAATTTAAAACAAGGACAATTGTATCTTTTTACAAGGATTCGCGTGCAGGTGTAGTGACTACACGAGTGCACAAATTGAAAAGCTTAGTTTTTACTTGAAAGCCTAGTAATCCACATTTTCCGTTTTATTTCTTAGTGTGAATATTCTGGAAAAAATTAAGCTTTATAATTTGAAATGATCAGTGTTGAAATTGTAGGACAAAGTATGTCAAAGTCTGAGCACATAGCATGACTTTACCCTAATCACATAAATAACATATGGATACATAAGTCCCTTCTTATAGTTACTGCATGTTTTAATTTCAAACAAGACTGATATCTTTCGGTTTTAAATAATTTTAAATTTTATTTTATTGTGGTGCCAAATATATTTACAATATGTATAAAATATAACAAATAACACTGCCTGTAGCCTCGTGCAAATGATTTTATGTTAATTGTATATAGTGCAATTAAAAATGAAGTCTAGCTGTAAGTTGATTGTTTAGTATCGTCTTGAGTCAAGACAGCCTAGTTTGTACATGGACTAACGTGTCATGTTTTGATACAATTGTCAGTAAAACATACACTACTGCAAAAACACAAATATTTATCAAATAATTGATTTGATTTAACCTTTCAGGTGACAATTCAAAGTAACATCAAAAGGTTTATTATCCAAAATATGAAGTTTATCTTAGAAAGGTCAAATTAATATATATTTATATGGATGTACACCCCTCCCCCTATTGGCTAACTGTTAAAGCCCCCCTATATTTGTATTTTTATTTTCATAACCTGCAACAAAAAACATGGGAGATGTTACTTGAGTTTACTTCTTATAGGCCTACCTCAAATCCATTCAATTTTTGTATGAGATATGAGAGAATTGCATGTGAATTTTAAGAGATAAAAAATAGTTTTTACAATATCACTAAAAAAGACTTTTGCAAGGAATTAACTTAAAATAGTGTCCCTTCGGGGAGAAAGGCATTACTCTGTGCCAATAATCTATGTTGAATGGAAATTGACCAGTTGTCCAGATTAAGTTTAAAACAGTAGCAGAATTTGGATTTTCACTTTTAAAGCTGTCCAGATAGTTTGCTTTTGCTGTGAATAAGGATACAGTTACAGTAAAACCTGTGTACATTTTTCCTCTGCAAAAAAAATTTCACTGTTGTTAGGTGTTCACTACAGCAATGATTTGATTTTGCAGCATTTTGCCGTATTGCATAAAAAATCATGGCTAAAGATCATGGCTAAAAGAGAGGAGGGAATAATCAATTTAATTTGTATTTTCTACCCATGATAATCCTTTAAATAGTGGAATCCTTGACACATTTTAGTCAGTTAAAGGACTTTATTGAATTCATTAAAGGACATGATAGAGTCAATTAAGGCTGATGATTTTAATTTTAATCCAATCTGTTTTCAAATTGATGGGGATGAATAAAGATTAAATTGGGATTAGCAGACAGTGGCAGATCGAGGTAATAATAGTTAACCAGATTATCCCCAAAACAATGGATGCTACACGGATATCCTGTCTTACAAAAACAAAGCTTATTTAGAATTTTAATTAGTCACACCTGTTTCAACAGAAGATGAGATCAACATCTCTAATTGACTTTTGATTATTTTTTGGCAGGTAATATAAACATAAACTGCTTAACTATAATAAGGCAGTTGCAGAAAATCCATGAGAAATCTTACGTATCAGATTCAATTTTCACTAGAGACAGGATAATTCAATTGATTTTGCCAAGATTTAGTGTTCAATGTCCACAGTAGGTAGGTGTTCACAATAGGATTGTGCTTTAACATGGGAGTCAATGGGAGAAAAAAGTTTTGCCGAAAAAAACGTTCACTGTTGTTAGGTGTTCACTAGACAGATGTGTTCACTAACTCAAGTTTTACTGTATCTATTTGTCACAGAATGGACACTATCTTAACATGTACAATATCTGGACTTATCATCGCAGTCCAGTGGCCGTGGCTTCAATATCATAAATCAGTGTAATACTACATACTCTACTCAAACTTCATTTTCATGCTTTTAATTGTACAAAATGTGAACATTAATATTTTCTGAACAATTCTGCCACAAATGTCATTATGGTAGTCAGTATTCACGCCTCTCTACTATCATTGACTATGTATCATCTCTCAGAGCAAGTAACTTAAAAAAGGCCCTCTGGCAAATCCGACAGTCCTGGTAGCTGACACTCTTACTGGATTGAAGCATTTCACAAAATTCTTTCTCCAATATTCAGTCAATCATTTTGGTATCATATATACTAAACAATCATCAAATATATTTCCCTCTGTGTCCATTCCACCAATTATAAATATAAAATCTCTGGTTTCCACGGCAGCTGCTGCAGTGGCTCCATCTGTGGCAGAGCTAGTGGCCTGTTCTGTTGCTGAAATTTGAAATTTTTAACAATGATTATTTTTTTTATTTGTTTGTGAATAAAGTTTTGCCAAGTTTTATAGTTTTCATATTACTGTATAATTTGTAAACCCATGATAAGTTAGTAATGGTTTGTTAAAATGCTTCATAACAACCAGTTGAACATAAACAAATTAGAAATCTAAAGACGATTGTGAAATGCAATATGGAAAAACATATTCATACTGTATACTCTTGTAATTTTCTTGTTATTTTTGTAGAATTAACATGGCAGAGATTAGCATCAAAATATAAGACATTACAGACTTTATAAGCAAATTCACAAGCAATACAAGATATACAAATGTAATTTGTAGGCAATGTGAATACCTTTACATTTCCTGGTTATTATGAAGCAAATGAGTCTTTGAATATCTGACTTCTTCTTTTTCTGTAGTCTTTATATTGTATAGATGGCGTATTGCTACAGGTACGATATTCAAAAAATCAGAACCTTGGTGTTCCAAAAATTATACTGAATGAATTAGTTGAATGTTTCACTGATTGGAAAAATAAAAGTGATCCATGCTAAAATATAGGATCCAATTTAAGAATGCACTTCATTTCTTGTTTCTCATAGAAAATGGCCGATTAGTCTATAATAAATTGCCTACTTCTCTTTGATGTCAAAAATGAATCATCCTTACTTTCATCACTGATAGTTTCTTGATCCCCAGAGTTAGAAACATGGAGATCCTCAAATTGAGACGTTAACACACCATCTGCCTGATTCTGAGCAGTCGCTGAATCTCCATTACTTCTGCTGGTTGCTATGGGAACCTTGAGTGACATCTTACACATGCCAAAGTCAAGTCTACAAGCAGGTGGAGGCCCCTGTAGTTCTATAGATGTCCACTGGAATGATTCTGAAATTTAAAAAAAAATAACCATATGCGATATTAGAATTATCACATTTGAAACAAGTTCAACATTTCTCTCTGGTTTAACAGAGTTATTTTGGAATAAAGTTTGAAATAAAATAAACTTATTACCATGAGTGTATCAATCTATTTTCAGTTAATTTTAAAATTTGATTTGACTAACATATGAATTCATCTGCGTTCCTCATCAGGAACAAAATTCTTGGTTGCTCATTAAACAGATCATTCTGAGTTTTTTATTATGGAGCCTTTTGGTATCAGAGTTAGAGGTAAGAATAAGTTAATCAAACTAATGTGAAACTAACTTGTATCTAGCATATGCATATCATCCAATGCCCCGTCTTTATTCATGCCACCAAATATGTACATATGTGTGTCGACCCCGACACCTCCGTGAGCAGCTCGCATAGATGGCGCTGTTTTTTTCTGCTTAATACTCAGCCAAGCATTTTTATCCAAATCAAATACATGGAGATCATTATAAAAGCTCTGCCCAGACATCCCTCCATGGATATATACCCTGTTACCAATGGCAACCATGACATGACCATGACGTGGTTTTGGAGGGTCACCTTTTACAGATGGCGTAGTCCATTGCGACTTTGATGAGTCGTAAATATGTACTTGCCGATCTGTAACTGGGTCTGCAGCACTCTGTCCACCGCTATATACAATAAACTTGTCTCCGACACATGCTGTGGTTTTAAGAGTTCTACCACCAGGTGGCGATCCTGAGCAAGTCTCTGTCAGCCATTTTGAACTCAACGTATCCAAAACTTGAATGTCATTTAAATTTCCTGTTTGATGTGCTCCACCAAATACATAAATTGCATTTTGGTTAAACGTTGGAGTCCATGCAGAATGCTCATATCTTGCTTTGAAACCTTCAGCTTCTAACATATCCCAGGAAAAAGTATCAAAATCCAAGACATAAGTTTCGTTAAAGGGGCCACTAGGATTTGCCCCACCAACAATGTAGATTTTCCCTGGATGATCATCAGTGCCCTCTATGAATGAGGCAGAGAGTCCTACTCTCATACTTGGGCAGTTACCCAGTGCAGAGAGAACATACCATAAACCTGTGTTTGGGCTTGTCGTTTTCTCGAGAATTGGATGGAGTTCCATTCCCTCCATTTTAATCTGGAAATATATAATTAATAAAATGATTAAAAAATGGAAAACACAAACTGAGAAACCGACAGTCATGATTTTATATCCATGATTATCTAACCTTCCTTTACTGAAAATAGTTTTTCATTTCACTAAGTCATTTAAGTAATGTTTTCATATCATATCTTTTCTATCAGTCACTCATTTTGAAATAATATGGAGAATTTGAAACAGGAGTACTTACATCTAATAAATGTTATTTATATAGAAGTTTCTCTCAACAGAGATGTTGCTGAGGTCCTCCTCACAAGCTTTGAATTTTCAAACAAATCAGCCTCGGAAATCACTGAACCAGTGAAGTCAGATGTAATTGAGTCCCCTGCAAAGGACCTTAGACTGGAGGGTCTTTTTGGTGTATCAAACGAGAATTCCCCTGAAGAAACAGGTTGCGTTAAATCTGAGTTTATTCTCTTTGGACGATTAATCCTTGTTATAGTTTCTCTTTGAGTGTTTATACTGGGTGACCAATAGATGTCTCTAGATGTTGATGTAGGGGTACTTGTAAAATTATGAATTTCGTGATGTTTCAGGATGTCACTATTTTGAGATTCTGATGCCTCTTTAGCAGGAACTTCGCTGCTACTAATAATCCGATTAATGTGTTTTGATAAAACGGACAACTCATCCACTGGAGTAGAAATATCTTCTTCCTCACACAACCTTTTATGCGCAGTGCCTCTTTCACTTGAGTTCAAAAGATCCAAGTTATTTTTTCTACTGCATTGATCATCAGCTAGAGTGTCATCTCTTTGCTTCACTTTAATATCTTTCAATTTTGACTGATCTTTGTTTTTATCGTCCCTTACAATACTTATATCCTCTGGAGTACTGAATCTGATATCACTAGCATTAATAGTTCTAACTGCAACATTATTTGCAACGCTATCAGTGTTTATAGTTTTACTTTCAACATTTGTTGTTTTACTTATGTTTTTATTGATTAGGCTGCTCCCTCCTCGACTCACTTCTGGTTTGCTATCATGTTTCTTTAATAAAGGATTGCTGTTACTTCTAGCTCTAGTATTATCTCGATTACTTCCAATACTACAACGTCCACTTCCAATACTATCTCTTCCACTTCCGATACTATCACGGTTACTTCCAAAACTGTCCCTGTGAGATCTTAAAATGAGATCTTTCTTCTCTCTATGTGTTATGTTAATATCTCTTTTGGCTCTGCGAATAAGCTCTTCAATTTCACGTTGAGTCTCAGCAATCACTCTCTCTGTCTCTAAAAGGTCTTCATCTGTAGAAGGAATTACTTTTTGGGAATCAGGAGTGTCTTTACGTTTTACACTATTTGGCGACTTTGCTGTGTCTTTAGTTGCTAAGGTGTCTTTATGAATCTTTATTGTGTCTTCATGGATCGCTAAAGTGTCTTGTTGAACTTGCGAGGATACAGAGGCAGGTTCAACGCTTGGTAATTGTCAGGATACCGAACATATAGCAGACTCTACGGCTTGGTGATTGTCATCTCGCCTTATATGGTCATTCTCATCAGTCTTTACAAGGATAGTGTCGTTGCCAAAATTACTGTATGCCTTGAGCGTGTCACATCCAGTACCATAAGCTTAAAAGAAAAGCTCATTTAATAAAAATCAACAGTAATAATGTTTTATCATAAATGAGGGTTACTAAATGGGAAGTTTTGGATTCAGGGTATATCCTGAGGGAAATACAATATATCTATCAAAGGGACTATAGGAACAAAGGTAGGTAGATATATTGTATTTCCGAGGGTTATACCCCGTTTTCAAAACCGAGCATCAAATCACTGATTTTTATTCCACAATAACTTGTTTTCCCTGGGATATAAACAGGAAATAAAATTGATATTTGAAAATCCTGTATCAGTCAAAATCCAATATCAGTTCCCGTTTCAGAAATATTCCCGGGGATTTCTCTTGATTGTCACATTTTTTGTTCTATTTTCAAACTTGTTTATAAAATTTTAAAATGTCATATTATAAATCAAATTGTATCATTCTATGTCACCATCATTGGGTGATGACAAATTGAACTTAAATTGAATAAGTTTCTAAAAAAGTATTTAAGTCATAAATAATGATAGGCCATTTAATATGGTGAAATTTAGCATGAGTTAGACAGAATGTCATATACAAAGCACGAACCGAAGGTGAGTCAGTGCAATTGTACTGACATTCTGTCCAACGAGAGTAGAATTTCACCATATTAAATGGCCTATCATTATTTATTCCGATTCAAACAGAAAATCTTGTTCAGAGAATTGGGGATTTACATCAATGAAATAACCAAACTTGCTGTTATTTTCGCCATTCCCAGGTGTGACGTCATAATACAACACAATACATGTACATAGATTTCTGGAAGCAGATTGAATAGAGAATGGCTCATGGCCAAAATTATACTTTTATTTTTCACATAATGACACATTTTAATAAGGGCAGAACTATTGGTAAAGAACTAGGTATTTACATATGTTATTTCCTGCTTTCCAATGATAGCTTACCTAGAGGGGACCTTGGTGACAAATCTTTACATATGTTATTTCCTGTTCGTTCCAATGATAGCTTACCTAGAGGCGACCTTGGTGACAAATCTTTACATATGTTATTTCCTGCTTTCCAATGATAGCTTACCTAGAGGGGACCTTGGTGACAAATCTTTACATATGTTATTTCCTGCTTTCCAATGATAGCTTACCTAGAGGGGACCTTGGTGACAAATCTTTACATATGTTATTTCCTGCTTTCCAATGATATCTTACCTAGAGGGGACCTTGGTGACAAATCTTTACATATGTTATTTCCTGCTTTCCAATGATAGCTTACCTAGAGGGGACCTTGGTGACAAATCTTTACATATGTTATTTCCTGCTTTCCAATGATAGCTTACCTAAAGGGGACCTTGGTGACAAATCTTTACATATGTTATTTCCTGTTCTTTCCAATGATAGCTTACCGAGAGGGGACCTTGGTGACAAATCTTTACATATGTTATTTCCTGCTTTCCAATGATAGCTTACCCAAAGGGGACCTTGGTGACAAATCTTTACATATGTTATTTCCTGTTTGTTCCAATGATAGCTTACCTAGAGGCGACCTTGGTGACAAATCTTTACATATGGTCTTTCCTTCTTTCCAATGATAGCTTACCTAGAGGGGACCTTGCTGACAAATCTTTACATATGTTATTTCCTGCTTTCCAATGATAGCTTACCTAGAGGGGACCTTTGCGACAAATCTTTAATTGTGTTATTTCCTGCTTTCCAATGATAGCTTACCTAGAGGCGACCTTGGTGACAAATCTTTACATATGTTATTTCCTGCTTTCCTATGATAGCTTACCTAAAGGGGACCTTGGTGACAAATCTTTACATATGTTATTTCCTGTTCTTTCCAATGATAGCTTACCTAGAGGGGACCTTGGTGACAAATCTTTACATATGTTATTTCCTGTTCTTTCCAATGATAGCTTACCTAGAGGGGACCTTGGTGACAAATCTTTACATATGTTATTTCCTGTTCTTTCCAATGATAGCTTACCTAAAGGGGACCTTGGTGACAAATCTTTACATATGTTATTTCCTGTTCTTTCCAATTATAGCTTACCTAGAGGGGACCTTGGTGACAAATCTTTGTGTTTATCTCTCTCTTGTTGTCTGAATATCACCAATGATGTGTCCTCGTAACGTTGATGTATCCTGTGTAAACTGGTATCTGCTATTTTCCGTCGACTCGTCATTTAGGAGGTTATCCCAGTGAACTGCTGTCTGTAAAACATCATATTTCAAAGCAGTTGTATTTTATTTGTTGACCAAGCAAACATATCATTCAAGATTTCTGCATGTATTTGCATTCATTTCTTAGCCATTTTGGTATAATTTACCCTGTGCAAGAGTCTAGTTATAAACTACCCTCTGCCTCGTATAGATTATATACAGTTTAGCAGACCTGCCCCAAAGATTGGTGCCTTTGACAGCCCCGGGTAATAAATCATTTTAAATCTACCACGCTGACCCTTTCTTAACCAATCAGCGAAGTGGAAGGAACACGTGCTAAATAAGTGCTCATTAACTATGCGGGGATGTCAGAGGAAATGACCATATAGAAAGTCTGTATTTCAACGTCGAACTCTGATTGGCTCGGTGAGATCAGAGATTTATTGTAAACTGAAAGAGTGCAGATGAAGCTATCTTTTAAGAAGTGAAGTCGAACAAATGCAAAGGGTAGTATAAATCCAATATTGATTCGAACCAAAAAGTTATGCGACACATTTTTGGATATATGCCAGACGATCATCTGACAATCAACTGATCATTTGGATTTCTTCTTTTCATTGATTTCTTCGAGTCTGCAGTGTAAGATAATCAAATTCTCTGTGAACCAAATACAAGGACCTCAAAAAATCAATTGTAAGTGAATTCTACGAATGAAACAATGACCAAAGTGTAATTTAGTATGATTTATAGGTCTTCACTGCTATAATTGACTAGTCAAATCAAAAGGTCAGTAGAACATCCCGTCCTTGCATTTGAATTACTAGATTCCCTTCTGCCAGCCTAATATGCCCAATATATACTTTATATATGCCCAATATTTAACTTAATATGCCTAATATATACTTTATATATCCCCAATATATACTTTATATATGTCTAATATTTACCTTATATATGCCTAATATATACTTTATATATGCCCAATATATACTTTATATATGCCCAATATATACTTTTTGAATTGCTTCCACTCGCCTATTTATATATGCCTAATATACTTTATATATGCCTAATACATTTCCTAATATACTTTATATATGCCTAATACATTGCCTAATATACTTTATATATACCTAATACATTGCCTAATATACTTTATATATACCTAATACATTGCCTAATATACTTTATATATGCCTAATACATTGCCTAATATACTTTATATATGCCTAATACATTGCCTAATATTTACTTTATATACTGTATGCCTAAGATATACTTTATATATGCCCAATATATACTTTTTGAATTGCTCCCACTCACCTATTTATATATGCCTAATACATTGCCTAATATACGTTATATATGCCTAATACATTGCCTAATATACTTTATATATGCCTAATATACATATATATGCCTAATACATTGCATAATATACTTTATATATGCCTAATACATTGCCTAATATACTCTACATATGTCTAATACATTGCCTAATATACTTTATATATGCCTAATACATTGCCTAATATACTTTATATATGCCTATTATACAGATATATGCCTAATATTTACCTTATATATGCCTAATATATACTTTATATATGCCTAAAACATTGCCTAATATATGTCTAATATATATTTTATATATGACTTATACATTGCCTACATTAGGCCTAGAATATAGGATGGCCCACAAAAATCTACCCATTTTTCTATAGCTGTCATTCTGCAGCGTGGTGCTTGGATTGAGCATTTTATTAATTATTGAAAAAAGTGTAGTAAAAACATTATGATTTCATAGTAATTTGGACAGAAAAATTGTTTAGGTCTCTAGCATCTATTAGAAAAAACAGGAAAAATATTAAACTTGTGTTTGTTTTGGCTTTAGAAAAATGGTTCCACCATTTATATGTGCCTAATACATTGCCTAATATATACTTAATAAAGTTTATATATGCCCAATACATCACCTAATATATGTCTTATACAGTATATACTTTATAAAGTTTATATAGGCCTAATACATTGCCTAATATATGTCTTATATATACTTTATAAAGTTTATATATGCCTGATATATTGCTTAATATATGTCTTATACATACTGTATAAAGTTTATATATGCCTAATACATTGCCTAATATATTGCTTATATATACTTTATAAAGTTTATATATGCCTAATACATAGACAGACATAGACATAATACATGACAGTCATTTTCATATAGTAAAAAATTATATCGTAATCATATCTCTATTTCGGCGAAAGTATTGAGTTCATGCTCAAAAATAAATTTTGAAAATATGCAATTACTGTATCGATTTACAGTAATCAAGTCGGTATCGGGACTCTAGTTGTCGAAGTTGGTGAAAGTAAAAAAGGTCTATTACATTGCCTAATATATGTCTTATATATACTTTATAAAGTTTATATATGCCTAATAAATTGCCTAATATATGTCCTTTATAAAGTTTATATATGCCTAATATATTGCCTAATATATGTCTTATATATACTTTATAAAGTTTATGTATGCCTAATATATTGCCTAGTATCTCATACTTGAGTGGGTTTGGGGTAGATATCACCCGGGAATATATATCGTATCTGAGGAGCAGGCAGGATATATTGTATATGTCCCGCTCCAGGCCAAATGCGGGCAGATATAATATATCCATCCCGCTCCCGGGAATTTTTCAAAAGTTTAAAAAAGTTTAAATATCAAAAGTTTTAATTTTTTAATTTTAAAATTTATATTTTTTAAGTTTAAATGTTACAATTTCATTGTATTGAACAAAAAGAATATTACGAAAAAGTTCAATATAAATATCTTGTCATTTGAAAAAGGTGGAAAAGGTTATATCTACCCTAAACCCACTCAAGTATGAGATACACCAGTTATGCACGGTCGGTTTGGATACATGGTATATCCCTCGTGATATTCCCTGTATCAAAAACCTCCCATTGCATAACCCCTATATATATGTCTTATATATACTGTATAAAGTTTATGTATGCCTAATATATTGCCTAATATATGTCTTAAATATACTTTATAAAGTTTATATATGCCTAATATATGTCTTATATATACTTTATAAAGTTTATGTATGCCTAATATATTGCCTAATATATGTCTTATATATACTTTATAAAGTTTATATATGACTAATACATTGCCAAATATATGTCTTATATATACTTTATAAAGTTTATATATGCCTAATATATTGCCTAATATATGTCTTATATATACTTTATAAAGTTTATATATATATGTCTTATATATACTTTATAAAGTTTATATATGCCTAATACATTGCCTAATATATGTCTAATATATACTTAATAAAGTTTATATATGACTAAATACATTGCCTAATATATGTCTTATACAATGGCGTAGCGTCATATACGCATAAAACGCCATGGCGTACTCTCAAAATTTATAAAACAGCTGATTTTTTATATTGATTTGCCCAACACTTCAAAAATGGATAAAAATGACTAATAATTTACATTCTATTCGTCCATGATAGTCAGAATTTCGTACTTCAAACGCCCCAGAACGCTTCAAATGCAATCTCATTTTCAAATTTTCGTTGGGGGGACCTCACCCGAACCCCACTCACAGCACGTCTATTTCGCTTACTCGTGGCGTACCCTCACAAAATATGCACGCTACGCCACTGTTATATATACTTTATAAAGTTTATGTATGCCTAATAAATTGCCTAATATATGTCTTATATATACTGTATAAAGTTTATGTATGCCTAATATATTGCCTAATATATCTTATATATATTAAGTCAAGCAATGTGAAGGGTAACTCAAGTTACCACTTCACTTGTACATTGCAATAAGTGGTTTAAATTTTCCTAATATTGCTGTTATTAGAGTGGGAAATCTTAATGGCAAACTTGTCCATAAGGCCATAAGAAGTAGATTCTTTGTTTTGCGTCCTGGCAAAATCCAAATCATGCAAGGGTACAAGGAAAACAAACACAAACTCAAGAAAAAACTCAAACTTGTTTGCCTAAGAAATGTATACATTTTATTGGCATAAAAAGGGATAACATACCAATTTGCAGTGATTACAAACACATATCTATCCATTATATACAATATATTAAAACATAGCTATTATTCAAAGGTAACCAAAATAAGAAAAAGAACAATGTATGCTAAAGTAATCAACAATAACAATTTTGACCTGCATCAAGTTTAAATTGTCTGTTATTTCTGATTCGGACTGAACGAAGTGCGGTAGTACTTTCAGACTCTTGTGTTTGTTTTTTCTGATTTACTCAAAATCGTGCAAGCAAGTGGACGCAAAACAAAGAATTTACTTCTTATGGCCTAACTAGTACATATTACAAACATATATTAGGCTAGCTTCTATAACTAGTGCATATTACAAGCACATACAAGTATCTAATTAAATATTTATCCATTTACCTTTTATTAGTTTTCTCTTAGTTATTATATTGGAGAACAGTAAAACATGAACATGTGAAAACCTCTCTAACATGAACACCATCTCAAACATTCTTAAAATGATGTCATATGCATTCTCAACTGACATCTCGAACATTCTTATTATGATGTCATATGCATTCTCAACTGACATCTCAGAAATCCTTAATATGATGTCATACGCATTCTTAACTGACATATCATTCTTAATATGATGTCATATGGATTCTTAACTGACATCTCAAAAGTTCCTATGAACTCATTTTTTCTCAATTTACAATATTAATTTCATCAGCAGCCAGGAGCTTTATTAGTTCAGTTAATAAATGTCAGAAAACATTGGAATACTGCTTCATTAAATTGTTTTTATAATTTCCATAAATCCTCAAATGCATATATCGATTCATTCTACAGATATGTTCAATGACACATTTACAGTAAAACATGTCTCTTCCAAACAAGACTGGGACTGTATTAGCTTAAAGGGGCAATAAGGACTGTAGAGAAAATAGGAACGTTTTTTTATTTTTTCTGAGCTATCAAGGCAACATTTGGTTTAACAT